GAAGTGGCACATCATTAAGAGACAATGGCTACAGGGTCTCTCTTAGGGAGGCTGGGTCCCAGGCACTAGGGCTCCCAGCCCTACCCTGAGCATTAGGTTACAGGTCTCCAAGGAACCACATGGGTTTGGGCAACAAGCATCATCAGCGCCCACCTAAATCTAAGACCAGGAGACAGTCCTTGCATGTCCTGGGCAACATAATACCCCTCAAACCTCTGCTTAACCTATCAAAGGGGTCTATATTGTGACTGAGGCTGGATTTCCAGCCAGGCTGATGGTGGTTTGGGACCAATTAAGTTCACTTTAGAGAATTAAAAGAAATGGGACTTCCTTATGTGCTATGTTGAAGAGTAAAATGTATACCCATTACATTTGATTTTGTGCAATTTTCACTGGTGGATTTCAGAAGTGCATTCTTATTTAAGTAAAATGTACAAGATGTGAATTGGACAAAAAGCAGGGCAATACCATCCCATTTTCATGGACGTGGCCCAGTGCTTACAATGTCAATACTTGGGCTTCCAGGAGAAGTGTCTTCTAAGCCAACGGAGCTTCAACACCTAAAACGTCACATTAAAATTCCAACACAGGCCTGTAGAACCTACTGATTTCACTGTACTCTGCTTTTCAAAAGGGCACAGAAAGTTGAAAAATCTCATATCACCAGGAGTGAAAAAAGAGGCCTTGGGTGGGGAGGAAAGTGAGTGGAAATCAATTTTACTTGCCTTGGCCGTACAATGGATTTTACAAAGGGTAGAAAATCAATCTTGTCAAATCAGTGAGAACTGATACACTCAAAGGAGTCTAAAGGTCTTGGAGGGTGTGTTAGGCAGTAGGATGTTCTCCTCCATCACCTCATGGAGGATACAGCATGAATGTTGGACTCTTTTTTGTGCTAAGAGGACCATGCTAAGGATTTTTGCCATGTTCCTCATCAAGATGAGCTCACGGTGGAAGTCAAACCTGAGCACGACCTCCTCAGTTCCAGCCCAAACACCCTAAAGTGGGGGACTGGAGCCAGACACCGGAAATCCTAGGAGTACCTGTTCTTGACTCACCAGAACAAGCCTCTGGGATACATCTAACAGAAGTCCCCCTTATCCTGCCTGTGACGGTGGGTGCCTCTGGCATTTTGGGGGCTGCTGCGCCATCTGACAAGACAGACCTCCTGTGGCTGTTGAATAAGTCAAATTAACACGGAATTGATGGGTATTAACCATTAGCAGACGTGGTAGGCAGAATTCTAAGATGGCCCCCAAGATTCTGGGCCCCAGCTATACAGACTCCTTCTGCCAGTTACTCAATTAAACACTAATCTAGGTACTAATTTGAAGGGCTTGCAGATGTAATTAAGGTCTCAAATCAGATTTTCCAGGTAGGTCTGACCTAATCAGAGGCAGTTTCCTCCAGCCGGCTGTGGCATAGGCACTCAGGGAGACGCACCTCACCTGGCCTGGAAGGAAGCAGGCATCCATGTTGTGAACTTCCCACGGTGGGGGCTACATGGCAAGGGACATGTGGGTGGTCTCTAGATGCTGAGAGCAGTCCTCAACTGACAGCTTGCAGGAACACAGGGACCCAAGTTCTGCAACCACAAGGAACTGAATTCTACCAACTGCAGTGATCTTTAAGGAAGACCCCCTAGACTCCAGGTGACAGCTGTAGCCTTAGCCAACACCTTGATTTCAGCCCTGAGCAGAGAAGGCAGTCGCGCCGTGCCTGGACTTCTGACCTACAGAAACTATGAGATAACTTCATGTTGCTTTAAGCCGCTAAGCTTGTGGTAATTTGTTATGCAGCAACAGACCTCTAATACAGCAAGAAAGAAAAGATAAAAAAACCCAACATACACAAGTAGCAAGTCAGCCGTCAGACCATTTTGTTCACAGCCCAGGCAGCTTCCCCTTCATCCTGCCACATTACAGATAGAAGATTTTATCACTGATGATGTCAGTACAAAATACTCTTAGTTCAAGAAAAAAATAAAAAACAATCTCATTTGCCACGCTGAGCTTGTCCCCTGGGAAGGTGTTGTTCTGTACTCACCAGCATCATCGGCAGGGCAAGGCTGACCCACCTGCCCCAAGAGGCAGCAAGTTTGGGGTCTCCCAGGCTGGTTCACGGGGTCAGGGTAAGGGTTGAGTGTTGTCCAACCTAAAGCGGGCACAGCCATTTGACATCATGCCGAGGCTTTTGACCTACAGACTTGGCTCCTCCTCCACTTAATTAGGCAGGGGGTTTTAGGGCCCAGGGACCAAAGCTCTGAGGTTTATCAAAGAAAACACAAGGCAGAGAGTATAATGGTTAAGAGTGACTTTTGCAAATTCCTTAAATCTTCTTCACCTCCATCTGTAAAATGGGGACTACAGAATTGTGAAGTTTTGAGGTGAAGCTTATCTATCACTGATGCACAAGGCTTACTGTTAACGAGCCTTCTAAAGTGGGAGTTGTTTAGTTGCTTTTGAGGCTGACTTGGGCTTACACTCAAGCCCTCATGCTGGGCTTTTATCATACAATAAATGCTCAGCCCTGTGCCTCAGAATAGTCAGCTGAGCACATTTTTGTCCCTTCTTTCTGAGCCCCAAGTACCTAATGACTAACCACTCCAGCCTCGTATATAGAATATCAGACCAGGTCAGTCAGCCCCAAAATAAATTAATTGTCCTTCCTTGGCCTCTTCTTGCTTTCTTCTTTCATGATAACATGAACTGTGCTAGTGATGTGTACCGACCGCTTAAGTGTTTCTACTGGATAAAAACAAGGGAATGTAGTAAACCAACAATATGAGGCTATTCTACAATAAACATGGGCTAAGTTTGCACTCTAAAAACAGAAAGAGTAATTATCATTTTTAAAAGACGGCTTCACGAGGCTAAACATTTACATCCCTCATTCTTGAAAGTGGAGGGTCCATTAAAGTCACTGAACCAGCTTCAATGAAAGAATTTATGAAGTTGTGCCAGATTGTGATGATAAAACATTCAAATGTATATGCCACTTATAAATATAATCACATCTAGACTCATAAACATAGACTTCCTATTTTTAATAGAACCTCTTTCTGAGCATTGCTAAGTGAGATAATTTGAAATTTCCTAAATTGCAAGGAGGGAGGTGGTGGGAATACTTTTTCCACTTGCAGATATGGCCATCTATTATATGGATTTGCAAATTGGTTAATTGTCTGGAAGATTTAAGAAGAAAAATGCTATTCTAGTAATTCTGTGCAGTCCTGGGTTAAACTCACAGGATTTTCCCAAGGGAAGATTAACATAAGCAAGAGTCTGTCCAATACATTTTAGGTGAGAAAAAGGGTATTTTTAAACTAGTGTTTTCAAAAAGAAAACTATAGAAAAATGCCTACAGCCCCTTTCTCCTTAGCAAATGACTCCTCCAACCAGAGTAAGATCTGGAAATTCACTGTCTTTGCCTGTCACTCACTGTAGCCACCCTTGTGCCAGAATAATGCCTCTCACAGACACAAGCACGCCCTCAGTACTCCTGAATAAATGAATTAGGGAAATTAAGTAAATTAGCAAGTGGCAGGATGTCTAAATTATAAATGTAAACAGATCAGATGAAGAAGGAAAAAAAGCAGCAGGGAGGTAAGGTTCTATAGTTTCATTTGAATGTTTGGGTACATTGGAAAAGAGACCCAGTGTCAATGGAATTTATCACTACAAAGTTTTCATTCCTAGATGGAAATTTCCAGAGTCTACGTTGTAAACCATCTTACAATGGGTTATTTACGAGGGGCAAGCCTTTTGCTTAAGTATCTATGTGGCAGCAGCGCCATCTGCTGGGTAACTAGTTGGGCATTTTCAAACATTCTAGGTACGTATTTTTTTTTCTGTAGCAAATTGAATTAAAAGTCACAGAAAATGGTATCAAAAATATCTTTAGAGATCATCTAAGCCATGTGTCATCTTGCAGGTAAATATTTGTCTGAAGTAGGTACAATATTTTCTTTCTTTCTATTGATCAAATGGAACTCCAAATTTCTCAGAAAACTGAAACTACAGCCATCATTACTAAATTATATCACAAGTCTTATGTAAATCAGAAACTGAAGGGCAGTTAAAATCCACTTGTTGAACATCTGAAGAGTTATGTCCAAAAGAAACTTCTGCAACAATGGAGCAAAAGAAGTTTCCCCAATGATCTCTGCCTATGCTATCCAATACAATAGCCACTAGCCATGTGTGGTTATTAACCATGTGAAATATGGCTAATGACACTGAGGAGCTGGATTTTTAACTTTGTTTGATTTTAATTAATTTACATTTTAAAAAATAGCCACACATGGCTAGGGCAGCGTTTCTCAACCTCAACCTTGACACTATCTACATTTCAGGCTGGGTACTTGCTGTGGGAACCATGGAATGTTTATCAGCACCTCACGTCTACTCACTAGATGTCAGTAGTGCGGTACCTGCCATCCACACCCAGCTGTGACAACCAAAAAACTCTCCAGCCATTGCCAAGTGTCCTCTAAGGGGCAAAACCACCCCTGGTTGAGAACCGCTGGGTTAGTAGCTACAGTACTGGACAGCACCTTCTGGAATATGCCTACTATGTATATAATATTTGGGCTGTAAAAAACCAACTGGTCAATATAGTGGACTAGGGCAGTAGTGGTTCTATCATAAAAATAGGGATTTTTTTTTAAGTCAGGTGTAGCAAAGAAACACCTTTCTTCTTTATCTGCTTTCCCATGTTATGAAGATGGAACCAGAAGAGTGATATTGGAAAATTCTGCCTTACTCCTGTCCTTACTGTGGGACACTGGACAAAATGATGTCCCTGATCTCTGAGCCTCACCTGGAGACAAGCAGGGATAGCACCCGCCCAATACAGCTTCTGCGAGGGTTTAATTAGATAATGCAGAAAGTGTTCCTAGCTCACTTTTTGGCACACAGTAGATATTCAAAACAATAGTTATTCTTTTAGCCATCCTCTTCCAGACAGGAGGGGAAAAAGTCTCCGTGCCTTCCAACCAATAATACAAAAGTACCCAGTGTGTTGCCATTGAAAACAAAAATCCGATTGAAGAAACTGGCCGTGCTCTATAACCCCAACTTTATTTCTAAATCCCTGTGGCCACAGCATGCAATAGTGTTTGCCTTGACACAGTTAAACGTGCAGGAGAAACCGTTTCAGTTCCTCGGGGAGGAGGAGGCCGGTGATCTTATGATGCTGTTGGATCCCAAAGCACTTCCGGATTCTAAGGCGGCATAACTGCATCAAAGAGGCGGGCCCTGGAAAAAGATGGTAAAGACAAGCCACAAGGCAGGTTCAGTGATCAAAGGTAACTTTTTGCTTTCCTTCTTTTAAAGTGTACAACATATAGGGCAGGGCAAAAGGAGATTTACAACTTTGAGTATGGAAAAGTTTATTCTTATTATTTATTAATTACTGTATTATTTTCTGTACAAACAACCATAAACCTCCTTTTGCCCCACCTTATATAACATCTTAGTAAAGAAATAATACGGTACTGTTTAAGGCCATTTTCTGTTTCTTATAGGAGGCATTTTTAGGGTATGTGCTCCCTTTTCTGCTCCAACTAAAATGAGTTTTTTAGGTGTTAATTTAGAACTGACCAAAAAAAAAAATTTCAGAGCTTAGTCTCACTAACAGAGGCTTAAGGAAGCTAATTTTGAACTTCCAAAGCTACACAAAATTCCCAATAATGAAAATAAAATTCATGTTTAATAGCTTTTTTTTTGTCTTTTGCCTTAAGAAAATGTCATATTTCTAGACACAAACATTTTTCTAATTTGAGCAATGTGAAGATATTCTAATATGACGAGCTATCAGTAAATCCTAAGTCCATGTTACCTGAAGCCACATCGGATTGTGTATTCTGCTCAGAGCTGCCCCAGTGCTTCAGTTCATCGGTGGAAAATGAACTAACACAAGCCTTGCAGAGGGAACCAGCCGCGAGTTTACATTTTAGGACAGTGGTTCTCAACAGGGGGTCAGGGAAAAGAAAAAAGACATGTTTTATTCTCCAGGGACACTTGGCAATGTTTGGAGGCACTTTTGGTTGTCACAACTTGGGGGAAAGTGCTACTGCAATGTAGTGGGTAGGACCCAGAGATGCTGCTAAGCATCCCACAATGCACAGGGCAGACCCCAATGTGGCAAAATGTGAATAGTGCTGATGTTGAGAAACCCTGTTAGAGGGTAAAAGGATGGGAAATGACTTCCCATCCTCACCCCATGCACCAAATTGTAATGGGGATCCTTGTCTGGTTGTTAAAAACATTCAAAAAAATAAATGCAATATTTTCAATCAGGCCCTCACAGCACATTCAGAAGCCCCTGGTGAATTTAGGGTACCATCCAGGTTATGCTTAGTGTACTCAAGGCATATATTAACACACTGCAAAGAGCGCCCGGTGGGGAAACAACTTCATCTCATCTCACTGAGAACATGGAAGGACGTGACAAATGATCTGTGCTAGCTACACTGTCAGGGACAACTGAAGGAGGTACCGATAAAGAATTATGAAGAATGAGCCCTGGCTGGTGTGACTCAGTGGATTGAGCGCCGGCCTGTGAACCAAAAGGTGGGCAGTTCGATTCCCAGTCAGGGCACAGGCCTGGGTTGCGGGCCAGGTCCCCAGTGGGGGGTGCACGACTGGCAACCACACACATGGATGTTTCTCTCCCTCCCTTTCCCTCTGTCTAAAAAGAATTATGAAGAATTCATTGCAAGCCGGATGTAGACTTAGGAAAAGCAGGCTGCCAGAGCAAGCTCAGTGTTCCTACTAATGCAAACAGAGTATCTGCTGTTTCCCACAAGTTGGGTGATGTACAGGAGCCGTACCCTTATTTCTATATAGAGCTGAAAACCCACTACGCCTCTGTAGCCATTTGCCACATTCCATAATAAAATCGGCTCATTCTATGTTGGTGACTTGGAATATTGCTTTGGTTCTCCGTTTCTTTTTCTTCCTAGCAACACTCATGATGCTCTTAGGCCAAAGCACATTCAGAGATGGCTCCTTGCTGTGCGGAGAGACAGTCACTTTAGTTTCCATTGTTGCCATGAGAACACTGCTTTAGATGCTTTTCAAGGTGGGTGGGATGGTAATATTCTTGAATTCCTTTCGGGGGCCACCCAGAGACAGACATTATTGTGTTAAATGCATAGGTCTGGCTTTCTGCACTTGCCTGTCCCTATTTCCTGCGAGCTTCCAGCCTGCTGAGAGGTGACTTCATCTGAATCCCAAAGATAATTTATGGAGGCAAATTCTAATCGTAACTAACATTTTACGAATCAGTGGGATCATTGGCCACACTGTCACCAAAATGTGAATTAACAAAATTAAACACAACATAGGTGTCTCGGATGGCTTTGGGAAATAAAGTGGAAAGGAAAGAGTCAGTGCAAGAAGTCTGAAAATCCAATGCTTTCCTAATTTAAAAAATTGATATTTTACAACTATGTTGCTATAAAGATTAATATAACCCAGGTTGAGTTTTACTCATTTTTCCCTTCCAATTGAAAAAGAATTAAAACATTTCTGTGGTCTCCTGCAAACAACATGGGCTTCAAATAATTGTGCCTGGGCCTGCTGGAGAAACTGGCCCTGTCTCTAGAGATAGAATTTTTTGAAAACAAGAAATCTTCCAAATGCAGGGAGAGTTGCTAGGCGATTATCCTGCTGGCTCACACAAAGGGGTTTCTCCCTGACTGTTCCTTGTGCCTGGGGCCAGTCTTCCCTAGCCCTCCGCACACAAGGCTTGGGGAGTACAAGGTTTGTTTGGCGCCCCAAGGTAGGGCTTTGGTTGCAAGTACCCTGGGGCAGTGGGAGTAAGAGGAAGAAGAATCCCATGACCACTTTACAATTCTACCCAGGGCCAGCCCTGATTCTCAGCATGTGGGGAGAAAAGAAGCTGATTACAACATCAGAATCCTTCCGTTAAGGAAGCCTGACTCAAAGCCGCATGAACCCTAAAACGTAATGTTCACATTCCGGTAAAAATAGGAACAAAACAGGTCCTAAGCTAGTGCTTTTCTCCTCAACGGTCAATTAAGAATGCAATCAGCCCTGGCTGGTGTGATTCAGTGGATTGAGTGCCAGCACGGGAACCGAAAGGTTGCTGGTTCAGTTCCGCGTCAGGGCAAATGCCTGGGTCACGGGCCAGGTTGGGGGCACGTGAGAGGCAACTGATCTCACACAATAATGTTTCTCTCCCTCTCTATCTCCTTCCCTTCCCCTCTCTCTAAAAGTAAATAAAAAAAAAAGAATGCAATCAGAGGGGTCTTGGCTCCCCACCCCACCCCGCCCCTGACTTGCAGCCCAGGGAATTGCTCTTACCCCCTTGCATATGGCTCAGCCACAGGTCTAGTTGTCTGGGTCAGGATTGTCAGTTCTTATTTATGGAAGAAAGTGGACTTAGTGTTGATTAACTTATAGTAGTAAATGTTTCCAGATTGCTCTGCGTCATTAAAGTAATACCTTATAATGCTCAATCAGTTGCATTCTTACCCCCAGATACCAAATGCTCAGTAGTTCAGCCCACCTGTAGTACAGCAAAACATCCTGGGGCATTGTACAATCTCAAAGAGGCCTCTGCTCACTCTAAAGCATGTTGTAGAGAAAGTTAATATTAGAATTTTAAAACAGTATCTTCATGCTTTGAAAACTGGCCTACCCCATATATGAATATTGGATCATCCAAAACAGTCTGTTTCCCACATGCCAAACAACAAATGAGTATTTCTTCATCGCCAGCGGTGTACCTTGTGCAATACTAAATTATCTCGGCCCCCTCATTTAGTAATGGCAGAGAGTGATCTTTTTTGTAGGATCAGAAGTCAGAACCCAGTCAATACCTGCCTCCTGCAAGAGCCCGCAAGAGTCTATGGATTAGGGCTTAGGTTCGGACAAAGGAGAAGCACCTTCTCTCTGCAAAAAGAGCTGGATCAGAGGGTTCTCTGGAGGCACGAGCTCGGAGGGACGTTTGCCTTCAGCGTTCTTGGCCTGAGTGTCTGCTCCAAAGTCCACAAGCAGGCGGACCAGCTCCCCGTTGGATGCCCTGGCCACTGCGTGAAGAGGGGAGTCCAGACCCCGGCCTCGATTCACGCTTGCTCCTAAAGAGTCATGACGACAACAGAGAGTCAGCCAAGGAGCAAAGTCTAAGCTGTGAGGATTCTCCATAGATGTGGATACATACAAGAAATATCCTGGTGGCCCAAAAGCTGCACATTATTAACAGAGCCCTGATACTAGCCAGCACTGACTAGAAGTGAGGCTACACAGTGAAATCCCATCCATAGCCAGCAGCCACATTCACACACTGAGCAATTGCCACAGGGTTTTAAATCTGGGAGTTGGGACTGTGTGATTGGGACCTTGAAGAGCAACCAACCTGTGAGGGTACCTCCTAGATTGGGGTGGCCAATTCCAAGATCACAGGGAAGGTGGCAAAGTCTTCCCCTTCAAGAGTCAGGTGGATTTCTAGGATCATCCCACGTAATTCTATCCGTTTACTCTCAGGAAATGCTTACCCTAGCCTGGATACTGGCTTACACTGTGACATGTGGGGACAGCTTGCTTTCCTGCAGCTGCTGTCTTTTTAGTTAAATGGGAATCTATGTCCACTCAAATGTTAACCGCACTATTCTTGCATTGTTCTTGGCTTTGTGAAAGATGCAAAACTTGGCCCTGTCCTTACTAGGAGCTTAAAGTCTACCATGAAATAGGAGAGAGAAGGAGAGGGAGAGTAAAGGAGGGGGAGCGGGAGGGAAGGGGAGGGGAGAGAGAGAGGGAGTGGGAAGGAGAGAGGAATAAATGAGTGAGTGAATATGAATCTCCTAATCCATGGCAATGGCTACCAGATGAGTAGAAGGCAGTAAGAACTATTAAAAGACTTAGGGAAGGAAAGGGTACTGGAGTTTTAAAGACTAAATGGAGCTCAAACAATTAAAGAGGGGAGGAAATGGTGTTCCAACTGTTGAAGAAGGGACTGGACAATAGCAGGGAGGTGAAAAAGAATGATGCTACATAGGCCTTTTCAAAGACACTACTTACAATGGGCTAAAAATGGGGCAAGTTCAATTTCCAAATTGAAGAGAGTGGTGAAGAAGGCCCCAAATAGGAAGAGTCGGTCCTAATCTAGCCGTTTTGGGAGTTACGCAAGGTCTGATAATATGATTGGCTGGAGGAAGGATGCAGAAGAAAGGAAGGAAAAAGTATTCATCACCAAGGACCGCCCTGGGAGGAGATACTACCATCATCATCATTATCCTCCTCCTCTCCAGGAGAGAGAGCGCTAAGTTCAAACAGTTTGAAATAATTCTCATGGGACACAGTCTATATGAACACCGACCATTTCCATCTCCACTGCCTACACTTTTTCAACTGCTACAATAGAAACTGCTTCAAATACCTTTAATTTACTTCTCGTTTGCTTTCCTTGTTTCATTTTGCTTTTTGTGTTACCTGATTCCAGAAGCTTCTTGGCACAGGCTATCTGCTGGTTTTCACAAGCCAAATAGAGTGGGGTGCCCAGGTGGCTGATGTGATGGTCAATGTCACCCCCATGAGCTGCAAGGGACTCAACGCACTCCACGTGGCCTGCAGCACACAGCAGGAGAAAGAAGTTACACAACGAGTTCTCTTAGCTAGGGGAACAATACTTTCCCTATCTTTGGGGTATTTATTTATTTTTTTATTGAATGTATTGGTTAATAAGATCATACAAGTCTCAAGTGTATATTTCTATGATACATGATTTGTATATTGCATTGTGTGCTCCTCGCCCAAAGTCAAATCATCTGTCACTACACATTTGGCCCCCCTTATCACCCACCACCCCCTTCCCTCTGGTAACCATATTTTTAAATCTGCCAGCAACTTATCCAGGGGCCCAAAAGCTATTTCTTTGGCTTAGAATAGGGAATACTTTAAAATAGTGCCATCAATTCATGGGTTGATCATAGATGTGACCTGTGGCTCTGGATGCAACTGCACTTGAGTTTACAAGCCCCAGTAAGCAACCAGCAACCATCCTCCTCTTTCAATTATTTGGGATTTATTATCAGTATAAGCACAGAAATGAAAGTGAGAGCTGGGGAGACGTATGGACGAACAGAGACTGAAGGTGGACCTGAAGAAAAAAGGGCACAGTGCAGGCTATGGGTCAGAGAAGCTGGCAACAGGACCAGTCCTGGGAGCAATATTTGGAATGCTGTAGAAAGGCAGTTCTAAAATTTCCTGTTCCTCAGAATAACCTGGAGGGCTTGTGAAACAAAGCACAGATGGCTGCGCCCCACTCCCAGAGTTGCTGGTTCAATAGGTCTGGAGTGAAGCCCAGGAACCTGCATTTATGTGCTAGGTCACATGATACCTCTGGTCCCGGGACTGCACCTTGAGCAGTAGGTCTACTGCTCTAAAACACACTGCCTCTTCCTTCTTTCTTTCAACAGTGAGATAGATCCCTTGGAGTGGTGGGAAAACTTCAGTTCTCAAGAACTTTACCTCTCTTAGCGGCTTCATGGATGGGAGACGCCAGGTCACTGACAGGGTGGGGGCTGGCTCCATGCTGCAGAAGCAAATTCACACAGTCCCAGCTGCCGCTGACACAAGCATTGAACAAGGGAGTGTGCCAGTCCGTGGTGATGCCGTCCACCTAGAATGAAAAGCTCCACGATGAAGGCAGGCAGTGGGGCAGCCTGCATTCAAATCGAGGTTCCACCACATTTAACTTCTCTGAACCTTAAATTCCACAGCCACGAAATGGGGACAAAAAACTTAAATTCCGTGAGGTTTTGGTGTAAAACTGAATGAAGAATGGAATATACGGCACCAAGAATGTTACTGAGTGTTCTATCTCCTTCATGCCCTCCCCAGGAGCCTGAACTTTGAGGCCAGTTAGGATAATTTCAATACTTTACAAACTAATCTCTCTTTATTCTAAACATTCCATCCTAGACCCATGCCACACCAATCCAGTTTCTTCACAGCAGCCCAAGTAACCTTCTAAAATTAACATACTTTTTAAAAAATTTTTAAAACGTAAGTTTCATACAAAAATAGAGTGAACACATGCCAAAGGGTTTTGTTTTTTTTTTTCAAGTCATTCATTAATGAGGGAACCAGTAAGATGGTAAGGACGGCTCAAAGAAGAATTTATATAGCGAACCAATGGAACGCTGAAATAAATTTGCTAGACACAAACTGTTTAATGACCTATTAGGCCATAATATTGAAAATTTCTAACAGGAAAGAGCAAAGCCAAATGCAGAAAAAGGCATTTTTTATTTCTGTTAAGAAATTCTTTGGTGAACCATTAAACAATAATACTGTGAGGCAGGGCCAGGACTAGTAAGGCACAAAAGACATCCAGGGGCGCAAAACTTAAGGAGACACTCGCTCCCAGGGTCATGAAAGAACGGCATGCTTCTGAGAGCGAGCAGCTCTTTAAAGTTTGCATGTTAGGCACCTCTCATGCTTTTCCTTAGTCCTGGCCCTGTTTCCAAGTTTCGGGTATGTTTTCCTAACCAAAATATAAGCCCAATAATGATACACTCACCTGTAGTTTTCTACAGTTCTCAGGACAAAGCCCATTTTCTTGGCATAGACAACAATGGTGTTTGCATTCTGATCCCTCTCACCGACTCTATTCTGCTGCTATGAGGAATGATTTGAAACCACAAAAATGTGCTTTTCACTTCCAGGCCTTTATTTGCTCTTTCCATGGGGAGGGAAGCCCATAATTTTCCCTAACCCACCATTCAGCTGACTAACTGCAACATGTTCTTGAGGTTTCAGCTTACCCATCATCTCCTACAGGAGGTCTGTTTTTGACTCCCTTTCTCCATCAGAAATAAATGGTTTAGGAGCACCTCCATGTGCTCCCAACGACCCCCTTACTATCAACACTTAATAAATTGTGGTAGTTTGCAAAAATGACCACAGATTCTCTGCACAGTATGCAATATGGCTTTGCAAGTCTTCACAAGATGGAAACTATTTTTCCAGTCCTTGAATCTGGGCTTGCCCATGTGACTTGCTTTGCCGGATGGAACAGTAACAAATGTGTTACAAACACAGAGCTTGTCCTCTTTTGCAGCTCTTGGAATCCCTGCTACCATGTAAACAAGTCCAGGCAGCCTGCTAAAGGATGAGAGACCACATAGAAATTTTCTGGCTCCCCAGACACCTTAGCCAACCTAGTCAAGGTCATCGTGAACCAGCCTGCTCCAGCCAATCTATCAGCTGACCTCAAATGCCTAAGTGAGCCCAGCTGAGGTCAGCTGAACCAGTCCAGACCAGAAGAGCTGTCCAGTCAACACAAGGAGTTGTGAGATAAATGAATGGCTATTGTCTTAAGCCATTAAGTTGGGGTGGTTTGCTATATAGCAAAAACTAACAGATAAAAGCAGTGTATTGTAAATGCCTTCTGTGGCTGAGATGCTATGCATTCAACAAACCTATTTACTCTCTCTTGGGTACACAACCATGTTACATTTCTCAACCTTCCTGGAGGTTAGATGTGGCTTGCCGCCTGCTGGCCAATGGGATGTGGGCAAAAGTGGTCTAATGTTGCTACCTAGACTGGTCCTTAAAAGCTTTCCGTGCACAATCTCCCATGTCTTTTCCCCTTCCAACCACCTGGAATGGAGACTACCCCGAGAGCACACAGGAAAGTTACTTGTTGAAAACAGTGGAGCAGTATGGAAGAAGCCTGTATTCCTGAGTCACCCTTGGGAAAGAGCCAAGCAACAGGCAACACCCACACTGGAACTTGTTCAGAAAGAAATAAACTTTCATTGTATTAGGCTACTGAGATTTCAGGATTTATCTATTGAAACAGCTAGTGTTAGAGTCAGTAAAACATTTGTTTATCTGGTTGTCTCCTCATTTAGTCTATAAATTCCTAAAAGTCTTATCCAGAGGGAGGCATCTAATAAATGCTCAATAAATACTGGTTGAGAGAATATGTGAAATTCATATAATTTTCTAGTCAGATTTTTCCATCACTTTTGAGCACGAGGAAACTTAGTTAATGGAAGAATTACTGGTCCCTACTCTTAAATTCAATGCCTTTTTGTCCTCCTTCCTCTAGGACTTCTCATTATGCTATCCTGATTCTCATTCTCCAAATAGTAACCATATACTTCATCTCTCTCAATCCTTGCAATACTACAAGTTACAAAACTTTTTATTCCTTCCATTTTTCAGATGTAGACTCTAAAGCTCAAAGCATAATGAACTTGTCCACAAAGTTTCCAATGTTAGTAAACAGTAGGGATGGTCTGGGACCATTATTCTGTTCTGGAGCCAAATGTTGTGTGTTTTGTTCACTGCCTACAAGACATATAAAGACAGAAATCTAACAGCTGTTTATTAGTAGTGACTAGCAAAGAAAATGCTAGAGACAGGAACCATTACTTTCTAGCTGAAAATTCTGTACTTCAACTATTGCTAAAGCAGACAAGCTTGATGGACATACACTTTTGAAAACCCCCCCTCTTCGCATTTCAAATCAGGCTAATCAAAAATGCTGGAAATTATTCTGAAGGGTCAGAAATAGTCATTTTTCATTCATGGTTTCTGAGATGTTGTTTGAGCGGCACTCACCTGAGCTCCATGCTTTAATAAAATGTTTGCACAAGAGGGATGACCTCCAAGACAAGCTTCATGCAGTGGGGAAACACGATCTGCTGTGATGACGTTCACAGCCCACCCCTAGAGGATGGAAAATGGGCAGGTAACGGGTGTAAAGCATTGGTTCCATTAGGGTTGGGCTTCAGCCACAAATCCGGTACTATGATACTTTTAAAGGTTCATCTGGCTTAAAATCTGACAGCACACTAAGGGATTGACAGTGATGTAGAAAAACAACAAAAAAAGGGATCTTTCACACTGCTGGTGGGAGTGTAATATGGTACAGCCACTCAGGAAAACAGTGGGACAGGATCTATTAGAGTCTGATGATATACATATGTATGACCCAACAATCCGACTCTTAGGTACATACACTAAAGACTGGCTTTCATTTTGCTTTCGCTCTCTCTTTTCCTCTCACTTGTTGGCTTAGTTTTGATGAGGTCCCTGGCAAGGAACCATTCCTGCATGTATTCCTGCCTGGTGGGCCTGCCATACTCTGCTCCAGACTTTTGCCATAAGAAGAAAATTTCTCGTGTAGCCACTGGTCAAAGAAAGATGCAAGAGAGCTGCACCCAACCCATAGCTTGGAACCAAACCCAGCCTAGATCAGCTGACATAAAGACTCGTTAGTGAGAAATGTTTATTGCATTATACCATGGAGTTTGGGGCAGTTTGTTACACAGGAAGATCTGACTAATACAGGTAGTTATTGGAATGCTCATTTTATAAAGACAGAAATTGAGGTGCCAAGAAGATAACTTGTTCAAATAATGTGATAGAGCTTAGATAAAGGTATGGTTCTGGCTGATGTTCAATAAACATATAAATACTGAATATAAATGAGTATGGGTCCAATTTAATAAGTGACAGAGAAAAGCTGCAATGATCATTTTTCATCATATTAAAATAAGGTAAATGTTTCATTTTATCCTAAAAGCATCTTCTTTTAGCTAGAGTTACTACCTACATTTCTACTTATAATAGGCTGTTGTTATCAAAAAGCAGCTTAAGATAGTGACTTGGGGTAGTCTGAAATTTTTCTCTAGAAACTTTTTTCTTATACGAGGATTACTTAGTCTGGAAAGGTCCATGAAATTGGAATTTTTTTGAAAGCACATTTATTTTCACTAAACACTACCTGAAATGTATCATGTCCTTCAATTACGTATTCAATCATGAATGTAAACAGCAAAACACAGCAGTAATAGCAGTATATAGGACTATCATGGAAAGGAATCACACATACTTTTATTACATTACAATTGTTACAGATATTTAAAATATCCAAAATATATATTCATCCTATTTAGAAATTATAGTAGTTGTTAGAATCGCCACTAAATCTTATTTAATGCATTAGGAAATAAGTCCATCTATTACTATTTTACACATTTGTCATTTAATATCTTGATAGCTTTCTTCTGTATTGTTTTATGAATTTGTAACATTAGTCTGAAAAGGGGTCTGCAGACTTTGCCAGCCTGCCAAAGGGTACTATGGTACAGGAGGGTCAAGAGCTCCTAATTTAAAAGATCTATTGTCTTTTCAGAGAACAGGACATCCTGAACAAAAACTTTTTTCCATTTTTGAATGGTGACTTAAATTGCAGAGAAATTAATATCAAACTGGGCAGAGCCACTATCAACTGGAGATTCAATGGAACTGAAAATGTCTTTGAAATTATAAGAGTCCAAGTTTAAAAAGACATTTTCAAGCATTGTTTTATATCAAGGGTTTTCAGCCCTAGCATTGCTTTTTGGGCTGGATAAATTTAAAAGTTTTTTTAAAGATTTTATTTATGTATTTTTAGAGAGAGGGGAAGGGAGGGAGAAAGAAAGGGAGAGAAACATCAGTTGGTTGCCTCTTGCAGCCCCCCTCCCCCACCCCAACTGGGGACCTGGCCCGCAGCCCAGGCCTGTGCCCTGACCAGGAATCAAACCACCCACCTTTTGATTTGCAGGCCGGCGCTCAATCCATTGAGTCACACCAGCCAGGGCATGGGCTGGATAATTATTTGATGTGCAGGGCTGCCCTGTGCTATTTAGGATGTTTAGTGACATCCCTGGTCTCTATCTACTAGATGCCAGTATCACCCTCTCACACCCACTCCCGGTTGGGACAAAAATGTCTCCAGACATTGTCAAATGTCACCTAAGGGGCAAAATCACTTCAGTTGAGAACCAAAATTACATGACAATTTTTAAGAAGATAATCTACTGAATAAAGGAAACTTAAATGCACTAATTTTCCCATTATTCATCTAATAGGTATTTATTAGAGTACCTACTATGTACATAGAATTGTAATAAATTCTAGTAGTACATCAGCCTCCAAATTGAAAAAACCAGTTGGATTGGATGGGATTCAACTCACTTTGCTGAAGGAGAATTTATATTTTAATATCAGACTATGATTTCTTTCTCAGTGTGGTAATGAATAGGATGTGCTTAATATTTACCTTCCTCTTTTCAAAAAGCTACCCACCTGGCGGATGAGATTCCTCAAAGACAGCAGATGCCCATGGATCGCGGCATCATGCACTGGAGACCAATCAGACACAACGTCTGTATGGAAAAGGAGGAACAGGTTACACCCTGATAATGCACTCAAGGCTCATCCTTGCCCGTCAGTAAGAGCCTAACGGGCAATAATGGTTGGAGTCAACCAACCAAAACTCCCATCAGAAGTTCACCATTTCTCCCCTGCATTGATATTTCTGTACACAGTTTACTTGAAATGTCTAGGTAGCTAAAAATTACATCCAGTGTCCAAACTAAGGACTAAAGAGGTAGACTGGGGTGACAGATGGATTACTGTACCTCTGTTTACACACTGATTTCAAAGGCAAATGGTCCATTTAGTTAAGTGAGAGCTTCGCTAATTACCAGCATTAATGTCTTAAGCTGCGATTGCCAGTGTAGTTTCCTGCATGAAATAGAAACTTTGGCATCTCAGCAAACAGTACCATATACTAATAGTAGTAATCAGGTAATTACATACACCATTAGGTTTGGAATCAAATATACCTCTTCTCCCAGTATGAAGTGCAAATCAGAGCCCAGTCTGACCTTGCAACAGAGACATTATTTACCCCCAAAGGCAGTGTACCAGTGTGGTTAAGAGAAAGCTCTGAACTCAGACCTGCTTAGTTTCTTCTGAGCTGTGGGTCCCTAGACAGGGTCTAAGCATCAGTTTCCTTCCCTGTCAATTGAAGAGAGCAATATACATACCCATGGCTCAATATCTATTAGACACTATTATTATCCTGCCCAAACACTAAACAGAGAGTCCTGATTACACCCCATAATCACTGCTATTTAAAATAGCAAATTTGTTCCACAACCGTATGGAAGGAACACACATTCTAAGGAAGGACGCTGGTAAACCGTATCCCCACACATTAAGTGCTTTCCTCTCTCTTTCTAATTGGGTCCGGATGTCATCTGAGTGAGGCCCACACCTGAATTTTTCTCATCTTAAGCTGAGACCGGTTTCCAAAACAAGTGCGGGAAGTCAAATCGTGAGAAGGCTCATCTGAGCTTGCTTCAGATCCAGCTCTGCTCGTTTGAGTAAACACACTATTGCACACAGACGAGGCAGCACGGTCTCGTGCCAGTAGCCTCTTGTAAAGGAACTGCTATCTCCCAAAAGCTGAGGAGACTTGGAGAACCAGGGTAGTTACTGAATTACCAATGCCTTGCAGATTGAAAGGCCTAAAGGAGGTGGCAAGAACACTTTGTACTTAACACGTGTTGGCTGAGGTCTGCCTGCTCCATGGAGCTACCAATATCCCAGAAAATCTGTCCCAATGAGCAAATCACCGTCTTTCTGGATGTGTTCATGAAGCACGTAATAGGTAAGGTGAAGGTGAATAAGTCCATCTACACACTGCCCATCCAATGTTTTCCTTCTGGGTTCACTAAGGGACTTGAGGCACCTTAAATGAAGTGGCTTTTCCTACCCCCAAAATCTTATGCTCTGTAGAAACCCGGTGTCCTCAGCACTCTCTTAGGTTCCTACTTCTGTCAGGAAAAACATTGCTGCTTCTAGTGCTAGAAGCCTACAATCTAGACAGCAGATACAGAAAGATTTCTCTCCAAATTACAATTGAAAGGAAAACTAATTCTACCCTGTTGGTGCTAATGCAAAACACCATCCACACAAAATCTTGAGTGAGAAGAAAGAGTCAAAAATTGAAAAAGGCTTTGAAAATCCGTCGTAAATAGATTTTCAAATGGACCCTAATGGATCATTGTGCGTGATGATTAATCTGTTTTTCCTACCAAGTGCTCAGCTGCTAAAAAATATAGCTTCCACACTTCTCAACCTTTCTTAAAGCTACCTCAGATAATTAGAGATGATAGTTTGAGGAGTCCAGGCAGGTAATTTGGGTTCTAAGTGGTCTGTTCAGATTTCATTAAAATGATGCAATTATATTATCAAGCGTAGACAAAAAATGGCCTTTACCTTCTATTTATTCATCATGGAGCCATTACTCCTTCTATTTAGGGTAAATGAAGAACTATGTACTTCTCTAAGAGCAAAAAGGCTACCTGAGGACTTGGACCCCTGCTTTAGAATGTAGCATTTACAGAGCACAGCTGTCTGTGTTTTCAAGAGGCACAGGGTGTTGTCCTGATACACAGGGTGAGGGGCTGATAATATCTATCTGTCTAACAGCTTTATTGAGTTCTAATTCACATACTGTGCAATCCATTCATTTAAAGCTATAATACAATGGTTTCCAGTATATTCACAGAGTAGTGCAACCATTGCCACAGTCAATTTTAGAACATTTTTATCATCCTTAAAAGAAACCCCTTGCTCATTAGCAGTCACTCCCCATTTCTATTTCCCCCAACCCCTGGAAAACATCGATCTGTTTTCTGTCTCTATGGATTTGCCTAGAAACATACTCATACAATATGTGGTCTTCTGTGACTGCCTTCTTTCATTGAACATAATGTTTCAAGGTTCATCCACATTGTAGTATGTATAAGTACTTCATCCATTTTTATGGGCAAATAATATCCATTAGACAGAGAGACCACATTTCATTTATTAATTCATTAGTTGATGGACATTTGTGTTGCTTCCACTTCTTAGCTATTATGAATAACACTGCTATGAACATTCATGTACAAATTTTTCAGTGGATTTATGTTTTCAATTCTCTTGGGTGTACATACACCTAGGAGCAGAACTGCCTGTATGATATGGTAATGCAATGTTGAGCCTTTTGTGGAATTGTGGCTGGACCACTTTATACTCCCATCAGCAGTATATGAGATGTCTCTTTCTAATTTAAAGTCATTTCCAACTGGAGCTTGGTAAGGCTATCACAGGGTGCTTGTACTCCTGCCAGGAGAAAAACCTGGGTCCTTGTAAAGCCAAAATTCATCTCAAATTGATACAAGGACTTTAGCCTCAGCAGGTCTCTGAACAACTGAGTGAATATATAAAAACTTAAAATTGTGACAATGGGAGGTTATTTTTCTAGCCCTGACAGCATGAATTATGTATGTGTATATATGTACATATGTGTGTGTATATATACATATATACCTATATATACCCACAGTTATATATAATTTGCAACATGGATTAGTCCACGCACACTTTATTTAGCCCTGAAAAACACTGGAGGGATATTCAGGACATGTTTCTCCAGGGTTTTCCAGAGTCCACGTCCCAAGCAGGCAATGAGCTATGGGCTCAACGCACATGAATTAAACCCAGAAGCAGCTTTGTCTGCCTTCCTGCTGATCTTGGAAAGAGCAAAATCAATGGGAAAGGGGAGCTTTCCCTCCCAGAACATGGATGATGCTCACAGTAGGAGACTATGAATGAAGGGGAGATTCGAGGTCACAATCCCCTTCCCACTGACCCCACCAAAGTCTTTGAAACTCGAGGGCCATTATGTGTATAGAACACATTATCCAAGCCCTTGATATATATTCAAGCTTCTTCCTCAGCACTTGTTCAGCCAGGGTCTATTGGTTTTAGTGCCAAAAAAAAAAGACTCTAAATGAGGTCAATGGCAATGCCATTGATCCAGTAGCTCGTGGTTAAATGGGGCAGGAAGCTCTCCCAATGAAACCACTCTGTAAGTCCTCCAATTAGTGCCATTAAACTTACCTTTCTTTCAGAGTCGCCATCAAATCCTGCAGCACATTAGGAAGGCTGCCATTTCACTTTTATTGCAATTTCTTAAATGATTCTTTAAAATTTCCATTGTTTCAGAAGAGATTTAAAATGCACTAATTGGTACATTCTAAAAAGAGTTACTCAAGAAGCTCTGAGACCCCCAGTGAATGCTGGGCAGTGGCATTAAATCTATCTTGCAAAATATTTTGCAAGTTCAAGGGGGGAAAAGGGTTGCTCTGAGAGGGCAGAAGCATTTGCCTTCAGTCTTTGGGACGTGATATCGTAGGGCCATTTCTACGTCATGAAGGCTGTGCATTGGCCATTGGCACTTTTATGTTCAAAATAGAACTCCATATCCTCCCTTCCTCACTCTGCTCCCAAGCAGCATCCCTTTCCAACTTCTGCCTTTTGTAGCCCTCTTACTTGACATTAATTTAGGCTTGAAAACTTTACAATCTGGGCTGCTGTGTCTCCTTTAGCCCCAATATTTAATCAAGCAACAGTCTGATTTCTCTTTGTTTTGAAATGATCACTCACATCTTTTCTTTCTCTGTCATTTCCAAGTTTGATCCAAACGATAAGGTTCATGCTTGGATCAGTGCATGTTCTCAAAGTGTAGTACCTAAATGGCACCATCAGCATCACCTGAGAGCTTGTTATAAATACAGATTCCCAGCTTCATCCCAGACCTGACAGTGCATCAGAAGCTCTGGGGACGGGACCCAGCCATCTGCATTTTTCAGACCCTCCAGGTGATACTGATGCACATGAGACTTTGAGTACATGTGGGTTACTGCAAGAATTTCCTGTATCCCACCACAATCCCTACTGATTGCAGCTACCAGTTTAATTTACTACAGTCTTTAGTATTGCCAGGTCTCTGCTCCAGAATCATCAATGGCTCCCAATTCCCTGCCTCATAAAGGCTCAAACTCTGCCACCTAGCTTTTGAAGCTTCATTATTGAGTTTCATCTCTCCAAACTCGCTCTCACTAGACTCCCTAGGGCATTCTGCATTCTAGTTTTGACAGTGTGTTCACTTTTTTTCTTTAATCCTCACCCAAGGACATGTTATTGATTTTAGAGAGGGGGAAGGGAGGGAGAGAAACACTGATGGGTGAGAGAAACATCGACTGGCTACCTCTCCTACATGCTCCAACCACGGGCCAAACCCACAACCCACAGGGCGGGTGCCCTGACGGGGAATCGAACTGCCAACCTTCTGGTTTATGGGATGATGCTGCAACCAACTAAGCCACACTGGTTAGAGCCAGTGTGTTCATTTTTAAAGTACTATATCTTGGAGTATATTCACAGCTGCCCACCCCCACCCATCATGCAGCCCCAACCAGGGTTGGTTTAGGACCTTTAGAAACCCTCAGCAACAAAAAGTAGCTGGCACCCCTCCCTCATAGGAAAATAAATACAATAGTTAGCTGTAAAACAATCATGTGGAAGTAAACCAAATCACTGATTCTTTTCCATATTTATTGGTTTGCTGTTTTAAAAATATATTTATCAGCCCTGGCTGAGTGGCTCAGTTGGTTGGAGCATCGACCCATGCACCAGAAGGTTGTGGGTTTGATCCTCAGTCAGGGCACATACCTGGGTTGCGGGTTCGATCCCAGTCAGGGCACGTATGGGGGGGCAACAAATCAATGTTTCTCTCTTTCTTCCCCTTCCTCTCTCTCTAAAATCAGTGAACATATCCCCAGATGAGGATTAAAAAATAAAAAATAAAAATATACTTGTCAAATTTATTTTAAAAAGTGATTATTGGTGCCCCACTGCTTTCTACTGTTCCACATCTATGCTCCATCCATCTGATTAATTCAGGTCTGCCTTTGCAGTTCCAAATCCCACTCACTTTGAGGGCTCTGCTCATTTTACGAGCAAAATGGGAAAAACGAATAAATGAATGAGCAGTCCTATGTGCTCAATTAGTCAGAAGAAAGGCATTTTGTGTTTTATTCCTTCTGGCTTTTCCCCTTTCAGCAGTTGTATAGTAGGAAATTAGTAAGTCCTAGCTGACTGAAGGGTTTCTGCCTATTGTCTCTTTGATGGCAAGTGTTATGGGAAGCCTACCAGGGTACTGGGTATCATAATCTCTCCTCTCCTCTAAAGCCTACACCCATTTTTCAGAATACTTTCAGTTAGCAGGAACCTGCTGAATTCTCACACAGACACACACAAAAAACGACAGTTTCCTGGAGGTATGAGACTCTATACATTAGCAACAACACCACCTGACAGGGGAGAATCATACCTGTAAGACATCTGCAAAGTTTTAAAAGTTAAGGCTCCTTTTAAAGTGAATCAATCACTTCAGCGCTCAATGTTTGAACATCCTTTGTAAACCCAGCCCCACCTCAATGCCAAACACCTAAAACCTTTTAATAAATGTTTTGGCAGTAAAAATGTTCCTAATTATAAGTAATCTGTAAACCTCCAATGTAATGTGATATATTTTCCCATTGCTACTAAAGTTTTTACTAGAGAACACACTGTGACAGTTCGCTTTGTATGATCTATAGGACTCTGCACATGGAGGTGGGCACATTTTTGAACAACCATGTAAAGAATATATATACTAGCAAGCTATAGACATCAGTCCAGTAACTGCCCCATGGACACATCTCAGACAGAGCCATGGAAACCACTCAGCTGTCTCCTGTGTTCACTCTCTCTGTTAACCAACCTCCCCAGCACTGTGATTGCACGGCCCCTGGACTCACCCCCCATCAGTGGATTTGAAAGAAGCCTGGTGTCAGGACAGTCTCCTGGCCTCAAGGGCCTGCTGCCAGTCCTGCCTGGTGGTTCGCCATCCATGGTGCTCTCCTGGGTCAGACAAGCTCCCTGTTCCACTTCAGTTGCTCAGGAAAAGTCCACATTCCATGCTGCCCCTGCTCCTGGGAAATTCCAGTGCTGGGACTGGCTGAGCTGCACCGTCCTGGTCAGACGGTAGGACAGACGTCTGCAATACAGAACCAAACAGGCAGAGTAATCTGACTACTACCTGTGGACTCTCTCTCTCTCTCTGTTTCTCTCTCTGTTTCTCTCTCTCTCTCTCTCTCTCTCTCTCTCTCTCACACACACACACACACACACACACACACACACACACACACACACACTCACACACGTGCGCCACCTAGCTGGCTGGAGCTAGCCAAAGCCCCACGCAGCACCCCAGTCCCAAGGCTACAAAGTTGCTGATGTCATGTCCTTTCCAAAACTGAGGCCAATCAGTAAGGAAGCCTTGGGGTTATCAGGAAGGAAACTCACAGTTTGTAACTTTTGCAAAGCGAAGGAACAGGGTGGGAGTGAGGGAAACCTTGTTCCTGGCTGCAGTCTTGCTCCCCTGCTGGGATCCTTTCATTATTTGGGGGCTTCCTGTTGAGACAAGCCCCAGAACCCAAGAGCAGACAAAGCTGGTGTTACTGCAGCACACCCTGGCCATCTGCACATGTGGTTTCAATTTTTCTGGGAGTTTCTTATGGGAAAATGTGTCTATATGTTACAAATGTGCAAGCTTGCAAAGGACTTTTATTTTCTTCCTTCCAACTGCAAGGATTCATTAAATGCCCCACTTCCCCCTTCCTCCACACATTATACATTAACTTCTAAGTAAATAATTAATGGTTACAATTGCAAAATGGATTGCTGGCTGGCATGGGGGCATGAAGGAGGCCTGCTATCTTTGTTAATTATAAAAACTTTTACTCTGGGAAAGTTTTGCCTTTACAAAATATTTGGCTTTTTGTCCATGTGTCTTTGCAGATACACCCTGCTTCTCTGCAACCCTGGATGCTGGTTCAGACTGATGGCCACCCTTAGACTCCAGCTACTCCTTCCTTCCAGGTGGTAGGGAGTTTCGCTTCCCCATCAGGGAAGACTGAGTGAGTCTCAAGCAGAGTCTGGCTGTGGAATGATTGCACATTTTTGTTTTGCACGTTTTTTTAATGCCCAAGATGTAGCCTCTTTCAGACTTATGGGTTCTCAGTTGAAAGACATGGTGGCCATTGTTAACAGTTTGAGGACAGTCATTCATATTTTATAATGCATTTCTGTGTATTATTCTTTTTAGATAATTGCAATTATATGATCATATCATCCTATGCTTTTTACGCTTATTTTGTCTTGGAGCTCCTTCCATTTCAACACACGTAGCTATGTCCCTTTCTTTAGTAACTACTGCAAGTATCTCATATTGTGCCAAAAGTATTTCATCATTTCCCTAGGATGGAGGCAGAATGTTACCATTTCTTTTACAAATACAAAAATACTGCAGTCCCTACTTTTGTACATATGGCTTTGTGTACACATGCAAATGTTTCTAGAGGGGCGATTCCTAAAAGTGGAAATGCTGAGTCAAAGGTGTGTTCATACACATATGATAATTTCTCTGGAACTAAAGACACACACAGTGAGTTCAAGTCAAAATGAAGGATTCTGAATGAGATTAGTAGGTTGCATTAATGATAACTTCCTGGTTGTGATATTATACTACAGTTTTGCACAAGTTATCATTGGAGGAAGCTGGGCACGGCCACAGGAGATTTCTCCATACTGCTCCTTACAACTGCCTGTGAATCTACAATTATCTCAATACAAATCTCAACTTGAAAAAGGGGTTGTCCACTTAAAATTGAGGTAAACACTTCCAAATTGCCCTTCAGCTCTGTTTGCAGAATTTACTGAGAAGGCCATGAGCATATATATGGTTCAGTACTCCTGCAGGAAAGATTTGAAGAATGACAAAATGTGCATTTAGCAGAGAGGGAGGAATTTACTCCCAAATAGACTGGATGACAAGGAGTTAACAGGATGCAGAAGCTGGATGCAATTGCCCTTCCCCCCCATCCCCAGTAAAATCTTCACAGTGCATCTTCTTTATTTATCTTTAATTAAATTCCAAGAAGATAAGGTTATTCCAAATTCAAATTTAAGTTCATTGTCCAAAATGACAATAAAGACGATTTCTGGATTGTTGCCTTAGTAGCTAGGAGGGAATTAATCAGCTTTTCATCTTCTCATTATATTTATAACGTTGATCAACACTTGTGAATATTGTAGGATGGGAACTAAGTTTCTTTAACCATTAAACAACAGTTCTAGTAGGACAAGCTCGTGAATTTTTAAGGATCTGCCCGAGGGTCAAGCTCAGCTACATGTGTATGAGCTGTGACTACTGAAAAATAGTTTGACTTACAATAAGCCACAAGAGAACATTCTTACCAGCTTCTTAGTCAGTTCTAAAAGTTGTGTCTGCACATTCAGGAAACTTGGTCCAGGTCAGTAAGAATTATGGCCTGCAGCAGCATAAGGCCACAGTGACTCTTGATCCAGTGCAGCCTTAACACTAGCTGCACCCGCCCCTCACCTGGCTGTTTGCGGTGCAGGATCACTCATGGCAACCCGTTCCTCCCAAGGCCTTAGGGGCCCCAAATGTCACCTCCAATCAGTCCAAGTTGGTCCAGGAGCTGAAACCTCTTGTCCTTCCAATCAGCAATTTTTCCAGCACCAAACCTTTAAAACATAAAAGGAACACATCTCCTCCGATGATTTGGAATGATCTACCTTTCCTGCAAAAGTCTGATCTGCTTCAGTTGTTCTCACATAACTGGCTCTGCACACTGGGATATCTGATTCTGCTACTTTAGAAAGCAGTCATTCATTCCTTTTCCATCCAGCGATGCGATAAGGCTCAAACGAGAGTGAGTTTTTAAAAATCTGGCATAAGGCAGTATCCTTGAGGAAACAGGCAAATCAAAATTGAGAGATAGTCTACATAACAATGGGCTGGACTCAAAACATGTCAATGGTGTGAAGGACAAAATGAGGGAGGTTTTCTAGAATAAAGGAGAATAAAGAGGCTCGATAACTAAATGTTATGAATGGTATTTGACTAGATCCTGATTTCGGGTGGAAAACAAGGCGTAAGACACCAGTGCTGCAGTCATGGAAACTTAAATACGGATGTGTATCAGTCACAGTACATCAATGTCAAACTGCCTGCATATGGTCACTGCACCGAGTTATGTAGAAGAATCTCTGTGTTCTTGGGAGATGCATGCTGAAATGTTTAGTGCAGAGCCCTGTGAGAGTGTGATGCAAAGGACAAATGTGTGCCCCTATGTACACATTGTCCATCAAAAAGTTAATGCAAGCTCTACAGTCAAAACACATGAGTATAAACAAGGTCTGGCACAAATAATGCCCCCTTTGATTACAAAACCATAAGCATGTCATTCTGTAACATAACAATGTCACACTCAAGCACACCCTATGACGTTTTCGGTGAAATATTCAAATGAAAACTATAAATTATTACGGCCATATTATTACCCTACCAACCACATTCAAGCAGGTGTTACTTCTGTATAAAGCGCACATCTCCCAATCTGTTCACAAGTCATTGTCACTTCTCAAAAACTCAACAGCCACATGTCTCAGGACCTCAGGCTGATTAGAAACACTGTTCTCATTGCACAATTATGCAGGGTTGTAAAATAAACAACAGCAGCTTGTATTTACCATTTTTGATGTTTTAATCATCATGGGATTTTTTTCCTTAACATTGAATTTTAAAATATTGCACTAAAATATTTCTCTCGATGAATGAGTTTGTCGGTGCACCCTTAAATTCTCTGCGATGGTTGCCTCATCCTCATCCTAGCCCTGGTGAAGAATCCTGAGGCCCATAATTTACTCCCAAATGGTTCATTTAGAAAATATTTGTATATGTATTAATTATACACATGCTTACATATATACATACATAGGTGTGTGTACACACTACACTATGTATATGTATACATTCATACAAACATATGTGCATCCACCCATACAGAGATAAGCAAATGTGGCAAAATGTTAATTGGTAAATTGAGATAATGGGTATATAAGTATTCGTTGTATTATTTGTGCAGTTTTTCTGTAACCTGGAAATTTCCAAGATGTAACCATGGTTGGGGAAGAGAAATTAACACATGAAAATGAAAAGCAGGTATACATTTTTTACAGGTTAAATTCATGTTAAAATTTGAAGCTGCTATTCTGAGTGTGAGCACGTATTTGTCCTAGCACAGACTATGCTGAAGGAAGAAGATGCTCTATTCTGTGTGCAGATGTCCGTGCAGGAGCAGCCCCTAGCAATGACTTGTGATGGGAGAAAGCAGGAGGGTCGCCAGTGCAGAGAGCACCCTCCCCCGATGAGCCGTGGTTATTCAAGGATTCATCCCTCACCACACCAGCTTCAGGCAATGTCTCTGAAGCATCAGCTGTTCTCTTTGTGTTAAGTGCATAAAATCTTAGCAATGAGCATTGTTACTGAAAAAAAGAGTCATCGGTAAGCCTCAGGTTGATTCGACATGGCAGCATTAGAAATACCAGAAGGAGAATTACTTTGGGACAAATGGTTCCTTAAGAAATTAGGAACAAAAGAACTTAGAGATGTTGAATGGCATATGCAACCTTGTACACAATTTAAGGGATTTTAAGCATTGAAGCTTAAATGTTCAAGGGACATGGGCAAGCTTGTTTTTTAAAAGAAAAAAATAATGAGTTGAGGCAGATGATGGATACAGTCAAATAAATAATGGATAGATGCTACACAGACATACAGTATACAGATATTTAGATGTCTGTACATATAGCTACATGGCATATGGATAGGTAATATTGGGTATTTGGTTATTAAAATATTTTCCCTTAAATGATTTAGTTTGTGTATATATAAAATTATTTTAAACTATTATTTTAAAGTCTTCTTAATCAGTAAATACCACTTTAAACAACTTCTAAGAAATACTTCAAACATTTAAGATTTATTTTAAAAAACAAAGTTACCAGAGTTACTAGTATTATTTATAATAGCAAGAAATTAGAAATAATCTAAGTTTCCAGCAATATGGAAAGAGCTAAAAAATATAATAGTACCATTTAAAAGGATAGTTTCAAAGGGTTTGAAACTTAGAAAATCATTACAATATGGTTTGTGGGAAAAGCAGAAACAGGATCATTAATATTAAATCAGGCAAAGAAAGCAAAAATAAAACCATGATGTACTGAAAACACATTGAAAAAAGTCACTAAAATTTTAACAGCAAAATTAATATTAGATATATACGTTAATAGTTCTCTTCAAATTCGCTCACTCTGCCAGGGTCTTTGCCTAATCACCTTATCTAAAACAGTGGCTCTCCCCATCATTCTTTACCCTGATCTGCTTTATTTTTCTTCTTGTCACTTCCTGAAATAATGACATATATGTACATGTTGCTTATTTCCTGTTGCCTCCACTAACAAACAAGCTTTCCAAGAGCAAGAACCTCATTTATGCTTTTCACAGCCTCAAAGAATGCCTGGCACATAATAGATGCTAAGTAAAAACATGTTGAATGAATTAATTGAGAAATTATCCTATAGCACTTCAAATATGATTGAAATTGTAAAAAAATATATACCATTTGGGGAATAAAACATCCCACATCCTGTGAATAATGAAATAATCTCTATTGTGTTAAGAACTGCCCCCCAAAGCAAGCAATATAACCTCATATAAACCAGATGATTTGTCTGATGGTCTAATTCTAGCTTGATAGATGTAGGACTCAAAGGGAAGTTAAAGACTACCTCCTGTCCAATCTCTACATTCACAAATCATAAAACACTGCAGCAATTGTGAACGCAGGCACCGGGACCTGCTCTGCTTCCACAACCTTCTGAAACCAGAGGATCAGTACTGGTGAGTGGTCTCTTGAGACTCAGTTCAGGATGAGAGTGCCCCCCACCCAACACCCCCACCAACACACACACACACACACACACGCACACACACACACACACACTTACCAAAGTTGGGAAGTCCATAGACATGATTCGTGAGTTCCATGGTCTGCACTTTCAGGAAGTAGATGGAACACCAGGGTTCTCTGGTTCCTTTGGGTCACAGACAGACTGAATATCCTAGGATACCCTGGGCTTAACACAGAGCTCAGACATTCAGCAAGACTCAGGCTGACCAAAAAATGCCCTGAGAACACTTTGAAGATAGAAAGCCTCTAATTCTTGAATGTTCTATAATATGTATTTTATTTTTTGGCTCTTTTCAGTTTATTGCATGAAGGCATTACACTAGTCCAAATCAAAACCAGACTCCAAATGGTCACACTATACAAACCATGAGCTTTTTAAACTTGTGACAAGTAAAACCCATGAACCTTCAGCTGGTCGTCCTTAGCCAGTCCACTCTTTACAAGGAATTGGCATATATTCTTGTGCTGCTCTCCCTGTAGCTAAATTGCTTCTCCATATTCTGGATACTCAATCACAGTACTGATGCAGGCAAATTTCTTCTTAAACGCCTTCACTAGTTTCTTTTTATCGTAATCACCAGCGATGCCTTGGACAGTAGTAAGGGTCTTCTGCTGTTTCTCTGTTGAATTCTTATGTGGATATAATTCTCAGTTCCAGCAGGAAATAGATCATTACCTTTACTTGCATCAGCAAAGGGGTCGAAAGACTGGATGTTCTGGATGGTGGACCCATGATACGATTCCTTTTCCTCGGTGGAAAAGGCCTGCGGAAGCTGCAGCAGGAGGAGGGGAGGCCGAGCATCAGGAAGTGAGGGGTCTCAAGGGGGACGTTGCTGAGTCCTGTGCGGCAGCTCAGTGACTGGGGCTGATCAGTACTTTAATTTATGAGTATTTTCCTTCAAAGTTTCTGCCTTTGATATTATGCTTAGAAAAAACTTTCCCTTTCATGTATGTTCACGAACACTTTATTCTAGTGTTTTATAGCCATCATTTTAAATTTTTAAAAAAGATTATTTATTTTTAGAGAGAGGAGAAGGGAGAAAGGAAGAGAAACATCGATCGGTTGCCTCTTGCACACGCCCAACTGGGAACCCAGCTCACAAGTGGGAACTGGCCTGCAACCCAGGCATGTGCCTTCATCAGGGATCGAGCTGGTGACCTTTTGGTCTGCAGGACAATGCCCTACCCACTGAGCTACACCAGTCAGGGCACATCATTTCAAATTTTTTAACATTTAAAAAATGAGATTTGTTTTTGAAATATGATGTAAGATAAGAATTTAACCTTTTTCTCCAAATAGTTAACTAATGAAGATGAACTTATTTGATATTCCCTAGTTGTGAAAATGAAAAAAAGGGTCTAGAACAGTACTAAGAGAAATATGATGCTAGTGACATGTGTATTTTAAAATTGTATTGTAGTCACATTTAAAGAGTAAAAAATGGTAATAATTTTAATGATGAATGTATTTAAGCTAATAGAGTCAAAATACTATATCTTGACTATAATTATAATTCTATAATATATATTTATTATATTTCAATGTGCAATCAACATCAAAATCATTAATAAAGTATTTCATATTCTTTTTTTGTACTGAATCTTAAAAACATGGTATGCATTTTGTACTTCCAGCACTTCTCAGTTCAGCCTAGCCGCATTTCAACTGCTCAGTAGGCGCATGTAACTAGCGGCTTCTATACTGACAGGCAAGGTGTAGAGCAGTGTTTCTTCACCTCTGCACTAGTGACATTTTGGACTCAATGATTCTAATAATTCTTTGCTGTGGAAAGCTGTCCTGTCTTGTAGGATGATCAGCTCCAATATCCATCCACTAGATGTCAGTAGCATCCTTCCCCCAATCGTTGCAGCCAAAAATGTCTCCAGGCTGCCAAGTGTCCCTGAGGGTGGGTGGAAGTAGGGCAAAATTATCCCCAGTTGAGAATCAAAGGTCTAGAAAAACTGGGAAAAAAATACATGTTTGGAACAAATCTTAGGATCATCCTAGAGCAAATTTTCTTTTCAGAAGCTGATATTTTTATAGGCACTAACCCATGATACAAGTACTTACAATAGAGTCTATCCAATTTTCACGTTTTCAATTCACAAAAAGGAGGAGGGAAGCGGGGACAAAAGGGGAGGAGATTGGGCAGAAGAAAAAGGAGAGGGAGAGGAGGGCAGGTTTTTGAGTACACCTTTGTGCTTATTTCGGACTCCTACTCACAGAAACAATATTGACCCACAATCGAGCCCATCTTGGTTTATTTCAAAAACTCTGGGACTCTTGATTTTGAAAATAAGCTGATGGATGCTTGGGTTGCAACATGCATCAAACTGTGCCTGTGGGTTCAGTCAGTGGGAGCACCTAGTGTCGCTTGATTCTAGAACTGTCTACTTCAAATAGCAGTACCTAATACCAAAAGTGGTGCGCAACAGACCCCAACCTCTAGGGGAGTTAATCTCTTCCAACATCTCTCTTACCAGCCAGGAACTCAGTAACTGGGACCCTCAATTAACTGCGGTGTTCTTGAAGTATTTCATATTTTTTATATATATAAAAGGCAAGGAAGGCAGCTATGTTAACTACTACCCAAAAACTCATAGACACAGAGAACAGTACAATGGTTACCAAAGGGAATGGGGTGGGGAGTAGTAAAGGGTAAAGGGGGTCAAATATATGGTGACCAAAGATGATGTGACTTTGGGTGGTAGGCACACAAGTCAATACACAGATCATGTATCACAGAAGTGTACACTTGAAATCTATATAATGTTATTAACCAATGTCACCCCAATATATTCAATTAAAAACAAAAAGACAAGGTAATCAAAACTATAGCAGAGATTTATTCATAGAGGGAAAGAAAGAGGGAAAGAGGGAGAGAGGGAGGAGCTAAATCAGGAGGAATGCACCTTGGAATACTCACATCCATCACAATCTTTTTCACTCAGATTTTTGTGTGTCTGCACGATACTGAGAATGTTGACCCTCACCATAATTGAAGATCATGAGCCTTCAAAAATAGCTTCTTATTCTCATTCTGCTTCACAGTTTTTTTTAAGTTACTTAACAACAAGAGCTAAAAATGAAAGGTTTCTGGTTGCCCCTTGGTTAATGAGAATATTAAACTAACAAAAGGTTTCCACTCCCTAAGTGTTTCCCATTCATCAGGGACTTGATCTAACTGGCTTATCTCATTTGAAGATACTGAGAGTCTAGCTGTTGAGCATCTACACTAGCTACCCTGCGTATAGCAGGCAATGATCTGATTATTTCCAAGACCTTCCATGGACAGCTGGGACTACTGGTAGAGAAGGAATCTTTGCAGTGGCTCCGGCAGAGGTAGCTTGTGGATGCTCTGATGACATGCTCGACCCAAGCACTTCCGGACACAGAGGCGGCAGAGCTGAGAAAGAGCAGGCGGGCCTAAGAAAGGAATTAAAATGGTGTGAACCTCATGCTAGTTGGGGGTTGGGGGTGATGTGGAAACCAGAGGACTGAAGAGGCTGACACTTTCTAAAAGTTTAAGAGAAGTTGGAGCTGTAGAGGAATTAGAGAGTGAGGTAGAAAACACTCAATACACACAGGATTGCGGTTTGCCCCCTGGACAGGGACATGTTTCTTTAAGTTGAGCCTCCAGTGGTAGTTATATTACCAATACTGAAGAGTGAGGCTAATTAGAGGTAAGTTAGGAATGAGGTGTGGGGTTTAAAGGGAATGCACATGCCGCATGCATGCACAGCATGTACCAGTGGATGTGATACGCTGGCCAAAGAGAAAATGCCAATGGAAGCACTGCACATGCAAGACCCCAAGACAGAAATGCCGAGCAAGGAACAACTGCCAAGAAAGTGTCAGCAGGAAGCCCAGACTACGTGGTCACAGAGGCAGTGTCAGGAGGTGTGCCGCGACCCTGGCACTCAGGGTCCTCCCGGATTGCCTGGCTCTCGCTTCCCAGGAGGCGGTGCTGCCCGGGTCCTGACTCACACCTGGAGAGCCCGCCATTCTCGTGAGGATCCCAGCTCAAGAGAAGATCAGGAGAAAGAATCCAACTCACTTAGATCCCATTATACCCTGAACCTCTGTCTCATGGAGCCTCATGGAGTCATCATGCCTGTGGCTTTGATCCTAAAGGAAAATAAACTAACAAAGAGTCCAAAACATGGTTGAAAAGGATGAATGAACTTTGGGCTGGAATACCAATTACACAGGGGCATTTGTAATGACCCATTGTTTTGTAACGTGACTCTATCAAAGACGATCTCTTCAAGTAGATCTATGTGATTACTGGACAGTTTTCCTTTTCAAGAAAATTGTATTGTAGTAGCACCTTGCACCCCATGAGAAATGATGGCCAGTGTGTACAAATAGCCAGATAACACTTGCATTGATATTACCAAGAGGCATCCATGTGACACAAAGCCACCTGGAAGAACAATTGCCCTCAGTTAAAATCTTGGGATACAAGAATGGAAAGCACCTCTACCCTTCACCCAACTAAAGCTACTGTGGAAAACAGTAAGGGAGACAAATATCCAGGTTGCCTAGACAAGTTCAGACACCTGCATGAACTCTGACATAGCTGGCGTTCATCCTTATGGGGCAAGTGGCTGTATTTATGAAGAGAGAGGACAGAGGAATTTGCTTATAAGAAATACAACTCCTTTAAAATGTCCATACTACCAAAAGCAATTTATAGATTTAACGCAATCCCTATTAAGATACCAATGACGTATTTCACAGAAATAGAACAGACATTTCAAAAATTTATATGGAACCATAAACGACCTCGAATAGCTGCAGCAATTTTGAGAAAGAAACACAAAGTAGGAGGGATCACAATACCGGACATCAAACTCTACTACAAAGCCACTATACTCAAAACAATCTGGTACTGGCACAAGAACAGACCCATAGACCAGTGGAACAGAATAGAAAGCCCAGAAATAAGCCCAGGTCTCTATGGACATCTAATATTTGACAAAGGGGGCAGAAGCATAAAATGGAGCAATAACAGCCTCTTCAACAAATGGTGTTGGGAGAGCTGGATGGCTACATGCAAAAAATTGAAATTGGATCATCAGCTGACACCATACACAAAAATAAACTCAAGATGGATAAAAGACTTAAATATAAGTCGCAACACCATCAAAGTCCTAGAGGAGAACATTGGCAGGAAACTCTCAGATATCCCACGGAGCAATTTTTTCACTGATATGTCTCCTAAAGCAAGGGACATAAAGGAAAGAATAAACAAGTGGGACCTCATCAAAATAAGAAGCTTCTGCATGGCAAAAGAAAACATCAGCCAACTGAAAAGGGAGCCAACCATTTGGGAAAATATATTTGCTAATGATACATCAGATCGAGGTTTGATCTCCAAGATATACAAAGAACTCACTCGACTTTACTCCAAGAAGACAAACGATCCAATCAAAAAATGGGCAAAGGACCTGGGCAGATGCTTTTCTAAGGAGGAGATACAGAGGGCCCAGAGGCATTTGAAAGGATGCTCTGCATCACTAGCCATTAGAGAAATGCAGATCAAAACCACCATGAGGTACCACCTCACACCGGTCAGAATGGCCATCATAAACAGATCAACAAACAACAGGTGCTGGCGAGGCTGTGGAGAAAAGGGAACTCTAGTCCACTGTTGGTGGGAATGCAGACTGGTGCAGCCACTATGGAAAGCAGTGTGGAATTTCCTCAGAAAGCTGAAAATGGAACTGCCTTTTGATCCAGCGATTCCCCTGCTGGGACTATACCCTGAGAACACCAAAACGCCAATACAAAAGAACCTATGCACCCCAATGTTCATAGCAGCACAATTTACAATAGCCAAGTGTTGGAAGCAGCCTAGGTGCCCATCAGTAGATGATTGGATCAAAAAATTATGGTACATATACACAATGGAATACTACGCAGCAGAAAGAAAAAAAGAAGTACTAAACTTCGCAACAGCATGGATGGAACTGGAGAGCATCATGCTAAGCGAAATAAGCCAGGGGGCGAAAGACAAATACCATATGATCTCACCTATAAGCGGAACCTAACCAACAATGCAAAGAAGCAAGGCAAATATGACCAGCAACACTGAAAGGAAAAGAAATCAACAGAGACAAGAGGGAAGGGGGGGGCAGGGAAAGGGAAGGGAAGGGGAAAGTCAAGGAACATATAGCAAGGACTCATGGACAAAACCAAAGGGGAAGAGCTGAGGGAGGGAAGGTGGGAGGGGGCAAGGGAAAGAGGGGGGGGAAGGCAGAGACAAATGTATTTAAAAAGTAAATAAATTAATTAAAAAAAAAAAAGAAAAAGAAGATCAAAACTATGAACAACAAAATGGCAATAAATACATATCTATCAACAACTGAATCTAAAAAACAAACTAAGCAAACAAGAAGACCTGAGACGGAATCATGGATACAGAGAGAGTTTTGATGGTTGCCAGATGGGAGGAGGGAGGAAGGAGGAGGAGAAAAAAAAAATAAAAAAATAAAAAAATAAAAAAATAAAAACATTTAAAAAAAAAAAGAAAAAGAAAAAAAAAAAAGAAAAAAAAAAAAAAAAAGAAATACAACTCCTGAACTGGGGAACATTTTTGATGGAAGAAAAGTGGAAATGTGACAACTGCTATAAACTGTATTCTCAGCTAATAGTTAGAAAGTACGGGGTATTTCCAAACTGGGAGCTGTTAAGGAAGATCCTAATTCTTCAAATGCAGATTCAAATAACAATGATTAATGACATAGGCTACTGGAAATAATCTAGACCAGTGGTACTGGGACCATGGCCTCAGGCCAGTGGCGCCAGCACTGTCTGGGAGCCAGTGGACATGCAGTGTCTAGGGCCTCGTCCCAGGCCTGCCGAATAAGAATCTGCATTTTAACAAGATCCCCTGGTGATTCCTATGATCCTTAACGCTTAAGAAGCAATAGCCTAGAAAGTATTCCTCAAATTATTGAACCAAGCATTACACTTGGAAGATATATAAGACATGCGGGTGGTTCCACAAAAGGGAACCGGGCAGTGAAAGAAAACCCTTCCCCACTAGAAACTGTTCCAGAAGATTCAGGTTTGGGCCATTCCTAACATTAAGAATGCAGGTTTTGGGGTCAGACGGCTTGCTTAGAGTCCTGCTTCTGCTCCTCAGTAGCCATGTGACCCTCTGCAAGCCCATTCTTTATCCTTCTCTTTTCCCCATTCACAGCTTGGATAGCACCAGTTACTGTAAAGTTCTTGCTGCTTTAAAGCTTTAAGAATTCAGGGAGATTAATCTATGTTTCGAATGTAGTTCAGTGCCTGACACATGTGAAAACACATGCTAACTCTTATTGTTAATACTGTCCCGAGCATACATGATCAATGTAGGCTCCGACAGTGTTCTCTTTCTGTGTGGACACAGCACAGTTCTCCCTGCAGTTTGGAACACAGCGCCTTTCAGAGGGCCGCCCTTCCTCCTCTGACACCTGGGGTCGCATTAGCCCAGGTGCAAATGCGAGTGAGGCAAAGAGGAATGCAGGCCCACCTACTCCCTGACCTGGAGAACAGGCAAACAACTTCCTTTAGTCTATTTCCTGAAATACACATGTCATGTATATATCACCTGTAACTCAGGTCTTTCTAATTTCCCCTGAATGGCTTCCATATACTACAAAGCAGAGTTTTGGTCTGCTCAATTGTGTGCTTGTGCCAGGATAGACGTGGCAGCTCAACCTTTTCATAGTGAAAACAAAGTTCTCTGACTACTTTCTTGTTATAGAAAATCCAAAGCAATATACAGATGTATGTAAATGCCTTTTGTTTATAAGTGAATATACCCAGCATATAAAATCCCATCTCAGTGCTGCCAGGACTTGCTCTCTCCTACATGCCACTTCCAAATAAACAAAGAAGAGGAAAATAGTAAGAAAGCCTAAGGATGAGACAGAAGGGAGAGAGAGCAGATGTGCTTAAGGAAGAGAAATGGACACCCAGCCCTTCCTTACCTTCCCAGAGCAGGAGTGCCTGCTCCACGCTGCTTTTTGGGGCCGCCAGATCAAGCGCACTTTTGCCCTGAGCATTTCTGCACTTCAGGTTAGCACCATAGTCTATCAGCAGGTGGATGACTTCCACACTGGACTGCTTCACTGCAGCGTGGAGCGGGGTGTCCAGACCTTGGCCGTGGTCAACACTGGCTCCTTAACAAAGCAGATGGCTATAATTTAACACCAAATGTTAAATGTGGAAACACAACAAAGCCTAAAGTATAGTAGCTGTAGATACAGTCATCTTAAATGCCATGACAATTGGACAAAGATTCAAAAATGTGGCATAAGCCTAGGACTTCAGCAATGTGTATTAAGACTGGTTCAAAATACTTTGATGAGAAAAGTGAATAAAAATATTTTTAGTCCTTTAAAATACTTGCTTTCCCATGTGAACTTTGTAACATACAAAATTAAATATTTGCAGTTCCTTTTATATAGTTATTTTGTTTTTTTTGGCAAAGGATAAAGCTAAGTTTAGTTGGTATGTATATAATTCAGGGCTCACAAAAAAGATTTCTGAACTACTATAGGGAGTAGTATGTGATGACAGATTTTTTAAAAAACAAGAAAAATCTTGGAGATAAAAATTCTCATTAAAGTTTCTATTTATTTTTAGAGAGGGGGAAAGGGAGGGAGAAAGAGAGGGAGAGAAACATCAATGTGTGTGGTTGCCTCTCGCACTCCGCCAGCCAGGGACCTGGCCCACAACCAAGGCATGTGCCCTGACTGGGAATCGAACTGGCAACCTTTCTGTTTGCAGGCCAGCGTTCAACCCACTAACCCACACCAGCCAGGGCCTTACTTAAAGGTTCTTATTACAATCTACACCTTTGTGCCAGTGGCTAAGTTTGGGAAATCTTTAAACAAATAATAGTTTCCAGACATTTTACTTTTCCTTGGACTCTGTTTCTCCACATGCTTCTTAGAATTAAAAAAAAAAAAACTAAATAACTTAGCAGGATCGATCTTAAGTAGTCCATGGCAAGTGTCTGTTGTTTTTCCTATCCAGCATCTTCCTGGTAACCACACCTAGAGCTCTCCTGGGGACCCATCCCTGTGATTCCTAGTTCATACACTGTCAGTGAAACCCAACAGCTGCAGCATAGACCGAAATCTAAGGCTAAGCCAATTGGTGTTGTATTTTATTCCCTTGGCCACCATGACTGGTTCAGACATGGACATGTGACTCAAAAAAGAGCCAATGAAATACAATCACCCCCCCCCCCAAGGGCTTAAATGAGAAAGAGACTCTTGCTCTCTCTTGGCACCACCAAGGAGACCCCCATACCAAGTAAATGGAGCAATTTCAAAGGGACTAAAAAACATGGACACTCATTTCTCTAGAGTTCTGTTTTAAGTAGTTAAACATCAAATGCTGCCAGAATTTTGTCCAGCTTGACAACAACTTTGTTTTTGAAGCCACGGAAAACCAACAAGGTGAATAGGTTCTTTTTCATGATAAGATTTCTGGAAGTTACCTAATTCTAGAAGTTTCTTCACACAATCAACCCTTTGGTGGGTGCAGGCCACAAATAAGGGAGTTCCGAGCTGAGGCACTTCTTGGTCAATGTTCACATTATTCGCCAGCAGAATCTCCATGCACTCTCTATGACCTGGTGGAGCACAAGATAACCTCACTCAAGTGAGTAAAATATTGACTGTTCACAGAATTCTGGGATTGCTCATCTGGAATGGGCTTTAGAAATAACAGAGTTTTTTAAGCAGAAAGAAAAGGTTTTGGAAGTCTTAGAAATCTTCAAAATTAAACCATTAGAAAGAGAAGCATGCCCACGATTCCCCCGCTTATTTCCTCTTTGCAGCCTTCGACTAAATGAAGGGCTCCAAGGAGCACTGCTGAAATCCTCTGGAATGAAGCCACCAGTTTACAAGTAGAGGCTCTGAGACCCGGAGAGGTAAATGACTCATGCTACTAGTAGTCTGAAAACCGAGGTCTCAAACGCAAGGCTCAGCCCTGATCCCTCTCCGTTACAAACCTCTCATTCTCTCCTTCACTCAGGCATGCAAGGCTGGGTGTATGGCTGTGCCATGTAGTAGAAGTTCCTTATTTTGGTTAACCGGGAAGATAGCCATGAGAATTAATTTTAAAACCTCAGGTACAGAATATATTTATTTAAATGTACTTTCAAATTCGATGACTAACAAGAACTACATACAAGTACACTCCTTAGAGAGTTTGCCCAATGAACAGATAGACATGGTTAATTTGCAGCGTAAGAATGATTTGTTTGGGAGTAAATGCTTCTGAGGTATCAATGTGCGCTCATAAAGAGTTTGTTCCATTTGACGATTTAAATGTTTCCTTTAAAAAATCTTATCATTTCTGATTAACTTAACCAAGCTTTTCTTTATAGATAACATAAAGGTAAGTTTCACCTCAAGCCTGCTTATTTTATCACAAGTTTTAAGTATAAATATGCACTAAAGTGTACAGATAAGGTTTCTGTACATTCAAACTATTTATTTGTTCACATAAGTAAATATTATGCTTGCATGATAACATCAATATGTCAAACTACTGACCTAGACTGACCCAGCTTGTTCATAGAGGTTTAAAACTGTAAGAACGCAGAAATAGTATCTAATCAGTACCTAAAACTGCCTGGTAAATACAGGGTATCTAATAAACATTGCTGAATAATTCCTGTCCTTGTTTTTGCAGAAGAAACTGAGCTAAGTTTGAGTTAAATTTAAGTATCCTCAGGAAGTTTTTAAGAAATGAATACATAAAAGTCAAATGATTAGCAGTACGATAACAATATCTAAAATAATGAATCTATTCATCCTTCCATTCTGTGTACACTGTTCCCTAATATGCTGTTATAACACATTAAAAAATATGTAGAGACACATGAATTCATGTGTTTTATGGTAAATATATATAAATAAATATATATGGCACATAGATACCAAATACTCTATTTGTAACCATCTAAACAATGTAGAATTATTTAAGTAATTCAAACCATTCCCAAAGTAATGCATTTTTAAATGTCTACATGAAAGGCAAATAGATTTTTACTTCAAATCAATATTTAAAAAAATTTAAAGATCTTTATGTCATTTCCAAAGTAATCTATTTCTCTACAACTTAAAGAAGTTATTTGAAGTTTGGGAAAAGGCCAGCATCAGTTTTTAATCAATAGATATTTATTTAAAATGTATAGAGCATCAAAACCATAGATATATTGAGATTTGGGTCTTTTGTATCATTTTAAGTAATCTACTCCAAAAAAATTACCAAGTGACATGTTTCATAACCTGGAGCAAATGCTTCACTACTTACTGCCTTTTGAAAGAAAGCCTTTCATCCCCAATTACACCAGCTTCTCCATTGTATTTCTGATCTCCATATAAGAGAATAAGTGTACCGCTGGTAACACAAAAATGTTGCTCTTTAAGTGTGACCTTTGGCAAATGACCTTGGCCTTTCAATGGCGTCTTCTTGTTCATGTTTAATCTATAAATATAATTTTTGAATTCCTTAATTTTACCCTCTTCTCTCATTTCAAAAGAAATGAGGACACAAGAGTCGAGAGTCAACTTCAAGGTTTCCAATGCCATGCTTTTTAAATTTGCTACTTCTTTTTCAGAAACTAATGACATTCAAGTCCTTAGTTCATCTAGATTATATTGCCTATTGTGAACGGTTACATTGAATCTTCCATTAGAGAAACGATCAGTCTTGGCTTTCAGACACGCAGAATCTATTTTATGTTAGTGGTTGATGCTTTATGGGCTTGGGGGATGAGCTATTCTTATCTAGTAAGGACAGAGACATAACCACAGTACAGCTCATGGAAGTCAGCCCTGCAGTCTTGACTGTACTGGCTGCCACCAAAACACTAGCAAAGATCCTCAAGAAAGGCCTGTCAGGAGACTGTCCTCCGAAAATGGGACATCGGAGACAGAAAGCCATTCCCAGGTAATAAGAGCTGTTTCACGCGCCAGTGGTATTCCCTGAAGATTTAGGCAAATTGAAGTCACTGCTGTGGGATTTCTAAGCCGCACGTAGCCTACCGGTGAAGGTCTGGGGATCCTTGTGTGGTGTGCACCGTACCAGTGATTCATGCAGACTGGAGTGAGTCCACCAATGTTTTGTGTGCAGTGTGCTGACTCATTTACCTCTCTTTACTGCCTCGTGGATAGGGGAAGCCAGGTGCGCCTCCAGTTGGGCCTTGGCTCCGAATTCCAGCAGCACGTTCACACATGCAGCACTGCCGCTGCAGCAAGCATTAAACAGGGGTGTGGCTCCGTGAACCGTCACTCCATTGACCTAATGATGGGCAAAGAGAGACCCACAGGATTTGCTCTTTCTTTATCATCATCTCCAAGTTGCATTCCTATATACCTGCCTGGAGAAAAGGGTTCCCATGCAGGTGACCAAGTGAGGGAACTCAATATCATTACAGTATTATGTTGTTATTTTTTAACTCTCCAAAATCCTTTATTTCACAGAATTGGGACATTCAACGGCAACCTAACACACAAACTCAAGTGTGTTAAATATGAGACGTACAGAAGGCCTTGCTTCTCTCTAGCAGCTATGGGCAATTCTGCACCTGTCTCTCCTGTGTCCTGGCCCAAGTGGCAAGTTCAAGCTTCTTCCCTGGCCAGGGCTGCCAGGGCTGCCAGGGCCTGAGGTCTCTCTCTGCCCCGACAACAGTGCCCTGCACCAAGGAGGGCTCAGCACCACTCCGGTCACCTCTGCCCCCAGAGCCATCCAGTGCCTAGAAGGCTGGGACAGGCGATCGCAGGAGAGTTCCAGTAGCTCTGCAACATCCTTCCTCCTGCCTGTAGTGCCCTCCCTCCACCCACCCATGGTGGGGGCGCTGTGGGGTCCATAAAAGTTACTCCCTATCAACTCTCTCTTCTATAAATAATGTCCCAAATGGAGCAATATGGGACAAAGCTTTTAAGATGTATTCGTTGGTATTCCAGAGCTTCTCAAGAGCTTCCTAATCATTGAGGAGCAGTTCTGTAGAAAATTTTGAAAATTTTTCTACTGGTTAAGAACATAGCTTATGGAATCATTAGCTTGGGTTCAAATCCCAGCTCTCTCTCTTATTTGCTCAGAGATCTTGGTTGGGATACTAACCATCTGTGCCTGGGGTTCCTTGTGTGTAAAATGAAGATCATAAAAGAATGTACCTTGTGAAGTTATTGGGCAGACCGAGTTACTACATGTTAAATACTTGGAACATCATGTGGTGTCCAGTGAACATTCAATAAACATTTGCAATAACAATTATTTCCACTTCTCATTAATATGGAGCTGGCATCCCCTCTCAATCATGAACAAACATGGCAGAAACCGAAACACTAGAGAGATCAACTCGTTTAAGGTCCCAAAATCTGGGCTTGCAAAAAATCTGCTCAGCAATGCCCCATATTTTGTCTTTCTTGGCACAAATTTCCTTTCTGTACTACTATAATCCATAAATTACATATGCCAGCAGTGACTCCTAAAGAGATCATGACCAAGCCAAAGGCACATTGAAAATAGCCATCAACATGGTATCTAGAACCATCCTTGGTACCTTCTAGAGATGTGGGAGGCATCTTTGAGTATTAGCAACACATTGGAAAGAACATCAGGGGAACAAGGCATTCTGGTGGGGACGCTCTCATAGGACTGAAATGCAGGACAATAAGGGCTTGATATTAAATCACATTGCTTCAGCAACTAAGAATACGTGCTTGTGATAATCAGGATCCTACGTTCCTTGTTTCAGAAACAAGGATAGCCCCATTAAATGGGAAAGTTAAACATGAGATGCTAAGTGGCAGAGAAAGACAAGGACAGGGAAAAGTGTGTATAAATTTATACACTCTGGGGATTTCTATCCTATTTACATTTTTCCTAATAAATATTTGGTGCAACTTATTTGATTTGTTTTTACTAAGTATTATCCTCTTCCTTAGGGAGTCTTCTAACTTGATTGCCTACAAGCTTCTCTCTCAGTTCAGGTCAGCAAACATTTACTGAGCATCTGTTAGGTGCCAATGTTTTAGAAACAAATGTTAAGACAACTGCCTCTCGTTGAATAGGTTGAATTCTTCCAGGGAAGACACACACACACAAAAAGACCATTCGATCATTTTGATATAATAAATGCTTTAGATGAGTATAGGAACAGGACAAAGGAGAGCATAGACTTGAGAAATATTTAGGAAGTAAAATTAGCAGGATGTTGTGATCAGCTAGATGAGGAGATAAAAGAAACAGGATGATCCCAGGTTTAGGGCTTGGGAAACCAGGAATATGTCTCAGCTGGTCACTGAGGCCAGGAATCCAATAGGAGGAACTGATCCCAGAGGGAAGAACGTGAAGAGCATAGTTTTGGATGCATCGACTCTGAGGTACCCACGGGACTGTCAATTTTGAGGAATTTTCAACTGGTTGACCAACTTTCTGTTGTTCCATCTGTCATTGTGATTTAAAGTTTAAATAACATAATATTTATTTACTGTTTCCTCATAAGTTTGCCAAAGACAAGGGACCACATCTTCCTCTTATCTTTGTTCCCCACAGAACCTCCCAGAGTTGTGCAGCACACACTCCTCAGCGACCCAATGTTGCCTGATATTTCCCACCCAGTCTGCTTGCGACTCCAGCCGTCTAGCTTGAAAGGAAATGTCCCTCCCCCAACCTTGCCCTCACCATTACATGTGAGTTGACTAAAGGTAACTTAAAGAAACACTATGTAATGAAAATATACAACCACTATGTCATCAGGAAAATCCCTTCGCCCACAGACCTTGCTATTCAGTTCTACATGCAGAAACCCAACTTGCATATAAAATCTAAAGAAAATTAAACACTTACAAACATTACATTTCATGAAATAAAGAATGCGAGGACTGAGTTTAAAAATGATATTATCAACAAAACTGTGTCGGGCAATTAAATGTCACAGATTTTCAAAAGTTTTAATTTTATAATTCTATTCTGATATCTGATTACATATAGCATCTCAGTCACTCCTTGGAAAAAAGGGGAATTTTAAAGATAAGATAAAGTCAAGGGGATCACTTCGTAAATTATACAAATATCTAACCTGAAATGCATACACCTGAAACTAATATATTGAATGTCAACTGTAACAGAAAAAATTATTATATCATTAAAAAATAATAATTTTGTAGTTTTTTCAATGTATTATTTATTAAAAGCTCATTTAGTTTAATATTTTTGCTCAAAAAATAGTTGTTGGTCTAGGCTGGGGTGTCCAACCTTTTGGTGTCTCTGAGCCACACTGGGAGAAGAAGAGTTGTCTTGGGCCACGCATTAAATACGCAAACACTAATGGAAACTGATGAGCAAAAAAAAAGCTTTTAAGTAAATTTACGATTTTGAGTCGGGCAGCATTCACAGTCATCCTGGGCGGGTTGGACACCCCTGGTAGGGTTTTGAATTAAAGGTGGGATTTTTTTGTTCTTGATGTTCTTTTAAAATGTGTTCTGTTTCAATGTTTTACAATAAATTTTCCAAGATCAGTTTTCAAATTACTTTTGTTTAAGTTGGTTTTTTTTAAAAGATAGCATCACAAGTTTGAGATTCCTGTGAGTTATCTCATCTGAATGTTCAAACATGGGCATAGAGGCTGAAGAGAGGAGCAAGGAGCAGTGTTTTCTTGACCACATTGAAAAACATGGATGAGGATGGGTAAGCCACAGTGGGTAAGCAGTCTGGAAAGTCATGCTTCTTTAGATGGTAGTAGCTGCACTTGGATAGACAGACCTGCCAGGTGGGAGCAGTACTCACCTGTGCACCATTTTCCAGTAAGGCTTTAGCACAGGCTACATGACCTCCAAGGCACGCCTCATGGAGAGAAGAGACCCGGTTAATTGTCACAAGGTTCACATTGATACCCTACAATTTGGAGAGAAGTGGGTCTGCATTAGCAACAGCAATGAAAGCAACATTGTTGGACATGCTTTTATCAGCCTGAGGTGATCATATCGAAAGAAAAAGAGCCCATGATCAGGGGAATCTAATTATGGTGTGGGAGCCTTGAATTCATTTTTTCACCAAATGCTTATTCAGTATTCTGAGCCAGGCAATGTGGTAGTAGCTGGGTCTTCAAAGTTTATGATACAGGTCTCTCTCTCCTCCAAGAGCCCACTGGGGAAATAGAAATGGGGTGGGACGGGGGAGGTGGGAAGCAGCAAGAATATATTGCTATGCAAGAAGCATGTTCACATTTCAATTGGCAGCATAGGTATCCTTGAATCTCGCTTGGGGAGTAAAAGAAAACTTGGCATATGAGGTAGTGCTTAGCTAAGACTTGAAGAAGAAAAAATCTCAAGCTAGGGAGGCAAAAAAGAGCATAATTCACCCTTAAACAATGCAGGGGTTAAGGACCCCAACACCCCACTCAACCACAAATCTGTCTATAACTTGACTCCCCCAAAACTTAACTACTAATAGCCTCCTATTGACCGGAAGCCCAACTGATAACATAGTCGATTGATACATATTTTGTATATGTGCTACATTCTGTATTCTTACAATAAAGTAAACTAGAGAAAAGAAAATGTTATTAAGGGAATCATAAGGAAGAGAAAACACAAGTATAGTACTGTAATCGGAAGCAGAAGGATGTCCTCCTGGATCTGAGAGAATCAGTGGCGCTCCTAGGACTCATATGTCTGCTGTCTGCCACTACCCCACTGTGTGCAGAAGTCTGCAGTGCCAGGCTCTGCGGCCAGGGGCTGGTCCTAACACCTCTCCTTACTCAGCTCCCAGCAGCTCTGCCCAGTCCTAGCACTTACCCCTCCCCATACTGCCATGCTCTGCGTTCCTCGTCTTGGAGTCCAGGTGACAGAGGACAGGATCAGCCCAGCTGCTGGCCAACTCAGACTTCATGGCCTGATTGTAACTTGACCCTTACCATTTCCCCCAGGATTACCATTTTCTGTGTGTGAAAGGAAATAGGTCCCTGGCTGATCCTTCCCAACTGAGTTGTTTTTGATCCCTTGCCTTGTAACTGACTTGCTGAAAGCGTCCAAAACCTAGTGTGTGACCCTGAACCCGAAACCCCAACCTCAGTACCCACCACTTCCTGCCAGACATCTATGGTGCGACCTGTCCCTTTCCACTATTGCCTGTCCCTTCATACTAAGGCCTCTCTATGGCTCCTTCATCCTGTCCCTTTTCATATTCTGAATGTGACATCATTACTCCAGAGCTGTGCTATATAGTTCAGGTTGGATATTGAATACAATTACGAAAGTCACATTTCCTTTTTCTCACATATGATTTGTTTTCAAGGGAAGAAAAACAGGTTAGTCCAAAAGATGGCAGCAATGTGCTAGGAAAAAAAAATTATCAGTGCAAACTCAAAATCCCTGAAATTGTAAAATGTACTGTTGGGCAGACTTGAAAGAATATCAAGGTTGAATCACCTCCATTGTGCATGAGAAAAAGGAGACACCTAAAGTTCAAATTATTAACAAGACTTAGGGCTCCCCAGCTGGTGGTGCCAGCCAGCATGATAATCAGGAGTTCCTGATCCTGAGTTTCACGTTTTACAGCACACCGTGCTATCTTAATGTAAAATAAAATTGAGTAATACATTTTGGTTAGCGAGTCAAGCCAAGGAAGTAGGATGTACTAAGGCAACGTTAAACTTTTCTACGAAGAATGCTCCTTACACATTTAAGCACATTACAGAAACCAACATGCTTATGCAGTATAGTTAAAAATAAAGACGTGCTCAATGCAACGTGGTCTCTTGGACTGGATTCTGGAAGAGAAAATAAATGCTCCTGGGGAAACTAGTGTAATTCCCAATGGTCTGTGGTTTAGTTGACGGCATTGTACCAATGCTGATGTCTCATTTTTGACGAAAGTACCATAGTCCTGTAAGATGTTCACACTAGGGGAAGTTGAGTGAAGGGTCTATGGGAACTCACTGCACTCTCTTTGCATTGCATCCTTAAAATCATTCCAAAATTCAGCTTATTAAAAATACTAATAAAAGTATTAAAGTGGGAGGCTGAGAGGGAGAAGGTGGATGTAAGACTTTTCACTGTGTACCTTTTTATATCATTTTAATTTTTGAACTATGTGAATATATTACATATTAAAATAATCATATCAAATCATATTTAAAGTGCTTAAAATAAATAAGCATTTGATAAAATCAAGCACAAAGCCTATTTCATAATTTCTGGTAGTTTTCTTTTTGCCTCTACTTTCTGGGGGAACTAAAGCAGCTTTTTTCTCTCATAAAGGAGAAAAAAAGGCTAACAGACACACACGCATACACACATACAACGAGCAGTGTGACCAGCTGTTTAAAGTCAAAATGGTAAGGAAGCCAGGGTCGGTGCTAGCCAGGAGGTGGAAAAGCATATAATGACTCACCTCCTCTGTACACACACAGATGCTAAAACAAACAAAGCAAATGGAGCATGTATACTTTCATTCATTTCACCCATATTTACAAGGCCACTATTCACTGCGCAAGGGATACAGTCATAAATAAAAATAAAGTAACCTTAATAACTAAGACTTTAATAAATCTTTCCAAAGGAATAAGATTTACCCATTTGTCAATCTAGTTTAGTGTTTGCTCTTGAAATAGTGTATCACCGGGGTAGGCAGCCTCTAAGATGGCCCCTGGGGATCCCTGATTCCTGGTACTGCTCCCTGGCATTATCCCTTGAGTGTGGGCTGGATTTACTGACTCATATCTACTAGCAGAAGTGATGGGATATCACTTTGGAGGTTAGGTTATACTAAGACCTCCTTCTTAAGAACTCTTGTGCTCTCTCTGGAAGACGCCACCTGCCATCTCATGATGCAGGCACAGCCCCGTGGGGAGGCCCATGTGGCAAGAAATTGAAGCTGACCAACAACCACATGAGTGAGGTTGGAATCAGACCCTCCCCTAGTCAAGCTATGAGATGACTGCAGATCTGGCTGATACTTCGTAGCTCGCAAGAGACGCAGAGCCAGAACCGCCCACCTAAGCTGCTCCTTGGCCAACAGAAATTGTGAGAATCTAGGTGTTTGTTGTTTTTAGCCCTATGTTTTTTTTTTAATCCTCACCTGAGGATACAGTCATTGATTTGAGAGAGAGAGAGAAAGAGAGACATTAATGTGAGAGGGAAACATCAATCAGCTGCCTCTCATACATGGCCCAACCGGGGATCAAACATGAAATCTAGATATGTGTCCTGAGCAGGAATCGAACCCACAACCTTTTGCTTCACAGGGCGATACTCCAACCAACTGAGACAGCAGGCCATGCCTTTAGCCCCTATGTTTTGAGGTAACTTGTTACACAGCAATAGCTGACTTCTGCAACTTCAGGGTTGCTGTTACTAAGGCATGCTGGGAGAGTATAAAGTGAATTTATGCAACATAAACTTGAGAGAATTCTCCACCAGCCTCACGAGAAAACTTCCTATGAGATAAAGGAAAGACCAGAAGAGGGAAGTTGAAAGTAGGCAAAAAATGAGCCAGCTTCCCAAGAAAGGAGAGGCAGTAGGAAGGAGTGGTGAGCTGTAAGAGGATACATACATCTGGAATGACTCTTCTGGACCCAGTAAGCCAGACCTCTGCTACAGGCAAAGCTAATGAAGAGGAATGCCTGCTTATAAGATGAGCATAAAGGATCCATTAGTTTACTTACCTGTGCAATTAAAGTCTTAAGGGCTAGCAAGCGCCCCTGGGCCGCAGCTTCATGAAGTGGGGATCGATCAGCCCAGCAGTCTGAAACACAAATCAAGCTCAGAGTTAAGGTCTGGAGTCTTCCTCCTGCAGCTCAGTCATGCTGCCCACCCTCTGTGAGAGGAGGTTTGGGGGAAGAGGACAGAAGCTTGTACCTAGCAGCAGGCTCTCTTGTCAGCCACTAGCAGGCTCTCTTATCAGCCACTTTCAGGCTGACAAGCCCCTGAGTGTACAGCCTATTAGTTTGTTGGTAGGCGCAGAGAGAGTACACAAACTCTCTCTGGCTTTGGGGAGCAGTTTTAACAAACAATAGATATAGTCTAGTCCTTGAATCAATGGCTCTAAATAAAGCAAAATGAAGGGCCAAGCTGTACAACCTGTCCCCATGTTCATCTTTCTCCTGCCTCTCACTTTCACCCCTACCCTAAAGACTCAACAGCTTATCATGCACCATGAAGAAGATTCTAGTGGGTCAGGGAAAATGGTCTTGTTCTGAACTGCCTAGGTAATTGTCTGTTTCATTTTGGTAAGGAAGCATATCTATTATAATGCAGAATGCCTTTTTTCAGGTGACATAATCCTCCAAAAGTTTCTCTCTAAACAGCTTTGTTGGGATTAGTTGAGTGTGACGGCTAAGCATGGGACCACGGAGCTACTCTGCCTGGGTTCAAGTCCTACCTTTACCACTTTTTCTGCCCAAATCGGCAAGTTACTAAGATTATTTGAACCTCAGTTTCCTGATCTGTAAAATGAGGGTATAGTAATCTAGTATTTAGCAAGGGCTTTGGTCTCTAAGTAGGCCAATAGTTTATATCCACAATGGTAGGTGCTTAAAACAATTTGCTTCTAAGTACATATGGTAAGACAATGCTTGAGGGAACAGCCTCAGAACTGCCTTAGAAACATATTTATCTTGTAATTGTTAGTCAGCAAACAAGATTAACCAGCTTAAATGGGCATTTAAGAAATAACCCTCTATTAAACATGCCAAAGGGCAGTTACTTGTTTCTGAAGAAAATCTACCCCAGTTTGCAAAATTTGGGCATTCTTCAAATTACAACTGTGCTCTTCAAGCATTGAATAGCATGTAATACAATTTGGATTGAACACAAAGGGTCCACCTTACTAACCTTTCCTAGGTGATCCTGGTGGTGTTGAGAATTCAGGTTCCCCATACCTGCAACCCTGGCAAAAACAATCCCACCAAAGGTGGAAGTAATGTGAATTTGATATAGCTCAAGGCCTCAAAGACAGTAAATTTTTGTAATTGATGAGATCCAGGGCTATAAACAGTTCAGTATGCTCTCCTCTTACATTGACACTCAACTTTCATACATGATTACGGGGAAAGCTAGAATGAACTCTACAGGGTTGGATTGAAATTGGAGCAATTAGTATGAAAATGTGATTATATATGTGTATGTATATATACATACATACATACATACACACTGTGCACTGATAAAACCTAAACTGGGGCTCCTTAGAGAAATGGTTGATTCCAGGGCTGGACCAGGAAAAATATAAAAAGGGCCTCAAACACCTTACCGGAAAGTAAGGAAGTGCTCAACAAATGATGGGAAATGTGAAAAAGACACAGAAGCTGGCTTGAAGGGGCTTCCACTGGCCAAATAAGGAACGATATGAACATCAAAATGAATAACGATCATAAGAGATTAAATAATAATTTAATTCCTATTTAGAAAGACAGGAACCTGTAAGTCCTCACTGATATAAATGAATATATATATATAAATTGGGAGAAGAGAAAGTTTTCCCTGGAGTAGAATTCCAGCTTAGAAATGTAGAAGAAATCACAGAATCTGCCTCAAACTATCTCCCCACAAAATAATAATTAGTTACAAAGAGAACAGGGGTAATTTTATAGTAAACCAAAATTGTGATCACCTTACCCAGAGGATCAAAGTAAACAGCAGAAGTGATGGAAACGAAACGACAGTGCGCCATCCAATGGAACGGGGAGCAATGCAATGGGGAGAACACACCATTGCTCTCTGATGCTCCTGCTCAAAATACGTAACCTGAATCTCACAGGGACACCGCGAACCAACTGAAGCTGAGGGGCATTGTACAAAATAACTGGCCTGGAACGAGTTCAAAGAGGGACTGAGGAACTGTTCCAGAGCGAAGGAGACACAACATCTAAAGGTAACATGTGTACCTGGATTAGATCTTTTTGCTATCAGGGATATTAGGACAGTGGGTAAACATGAATGGGCACTCAGGGTGAAGAGAGGTGGGAATTCTTTGTACTACTTGTAACTTTTCTATCATTTTGAAAACAGTTTCAAAATAAAAAACTGTGTATATATATAATATGTATTACATATAAATAAAATTACTAGTGTTTTCATATTCCGGTTATCAAAAAGAAAAACAGATACAATTGCTTGCATCTCCCCTTGGTCCTGAGTCAGTTAAAAGTTAATGAGTGGAGTATTTTTAAATCTCTTGGACATTTATAATTTGCATAAACTGGGAATGACATAATGTATGCATATAATCCTCAATCAGCCTTGGTTTTCTTCTAACACATCTCCATCTCGGTCCATGTGACACAGGCATGACGCGTGCTATACGTTGCCCCCTCGCCTAACTGCCCTTGGAAATGAACCCCGGCACTCGGGTTGCAAGGACAGCCTTCTCCCCACCCCCACCCGCGAGGCTGCGCAGCACCCTGACCGATGTAAGGAGCACACCCACAGCCACTTGTTGTTCTTCTGTTCTAACAAGAGCCAGTCAACCAAAGTCACCTGAAGGCATTGGAAGTGCTTGATTCAAAAATAAAAATAAGATGCCAGGAGGTAATTTGCTATTATCAACTTAGAATAGCAACATGAAATGGCTTTGTTATTTCTAAAACTTGCCTCCAAGGGGCCTGTGGAGTCCCCTTTCCCTGGGGAGCGGGAGCCATCACCACATCCGCCTCCTATTTCCAGTAACTTTGTCTCTCATCAGTCCCCTAAGACCTGCTCTACACACACAAGCTGGGGACATCTCGCAAGCTGAGAGGTTTGAGACTTGAAACACACCCTTTTCTAGTTTTAAGAACTACCGGTGTTTACATTCTGCCTGCCCTTGTGGTAGATTGACTTGTCTGGAGTGTTTTGCTAAGAGCTGCCTTCTCTCTACAGATAATGTGAAGTAAACCAATGGTATCGCCTTCAATGTAGAAACGATTTTTGTTTCCCAACTGGAAACGAAACCACTCTCGAGGAAGCCACCTTTCCAATCCTGTGTTTTCCAGCACTTGCTCGGAAGGACCTTGAAGAGTTTTCACATAAAACCCTTTTCCAGAAAACTCGGCCAAGGTGGGCTCTCCTGTTTTTCTACTCTTATTCCCAACACACAGTCTCTCACTCTTATCATTCTTGTTTTGCAAATTGGAGCTAATTGTGAGAAATTAAGAGTAAGTTATTTGGCAGCTAGGGAGTTTTTCCATTCCTTTCAGGAAATATGCAACCAAGCTCTCCAGATAAATGAAATGCTTAAGCAGGAACCAGTCAATCTCTTCTAAGGCAGTCTATTTTTAATTATTTGGCAGAACGCCTATGTCACAAGGCTGCAAGCATGTCATAAGGATAGTTTACTCTACAAATATGTTTACTTGTTCCTGACGAGGTGTACGGAAAATGTTCAAGTACTTCTCATTCCCTCCTTTCATTTTTTTCTCACAGTATGATTTATATCTCTACTTCTCAGAGTCTGAATAACAATTTCACGACAACTTTGAATACTGTAGATTTCAATTTCAATAGCAAAATTGGTTAATGTTCAAGATAAAAATCAATTATATTTTTAAAAGCTTTTGCAATTTTTACCCTTCCTAATTCCAACAAGCATTTGAGATTACTGATTTGTTATTTTTTTTAAAAATCAGCTAACTGGTTATAATCTCCAGTGCACATGGAACTATATTCTCTCTAGTCAAATTCCAAAATCATAGGGAGCAATATCTTCTCCTGCAGCATTTATCAAAGGAAAGAAAATCCAAAAGGAATTTCATTTTTGAACCAAAATACAGGTAAGGCCCTAGCAGAATTAATGCTATGTTAAGCAACACAAAGGTAATTGTAGAAAGCCTTGTTATACTAAATTTCCTGACATATCTAAAATACAATAAAATTGAGTTAAAATGCATGCTCTCTAGAACACTCAGCTTTGGTCAGTAAATGAACTAAGGTCAATGAACATCTTTCTGTAGTGTGTTAGAAAGGTCAGAGAGAGAGAGAGACAGAGACAGAGACAGAGAGAGAGAGAGATTTTTTAACTGACAAACTATGCAAAGTAGCCTAAGAAAAGCAAAATAAAAATAAGCCAAGCATAGCTTACTTCAATCCTGATGAATTACCTACAAATGTAATAGTTTAAACCACAAAGACATATTGAATGATGTATTCCAGGATATGAAATTCTGGGGTTGGGGGAACCTTCCCTGAAAGATTTTTACAGCCAAAAAAAAGATACTTAATGAGGAATATGATGCTAGGTGTTGTTTCCAAAAGGAAGAGTGCTAGGATCTATGCCAGGCTAAACTCCACCCGGGCCGAGTTTTTTCACTGTCTTTCCCTTGTTTTTGACAGCACCGATGGTAGCTTATAGGAACATAATATGCTTCTGGAAATCCAGAACCTTCCTGAGACTTTTCTAAGTTAATTGGCTAACTTATTAATTAAACGTCACATATTCTCTCAACAAACATTTGTCTGACCAATACACAGTAAAGGGAATTTCTGGTTTGAGCTGAACACTTGCACAACATTTTGTTCTTGATTTTCAATATGTCTAGCTTTAAGTATCTAGTATCTGCCTGCTAACAATGTCAAAAGAAACACTGTTAGAATCATGTAAAAACCACTGTTTCTGGCAGGTTACTACCTGTATTATTATAGAAAGCCTTATTTACCAAATCTAGATGTACTCTCTATTGTGTATGTGCGTGCCATGTATATATATGTACACAAAATTAAACTGAGACCTAAACATGCACTCTCTTCCCAGCTGCCTCTTGTTAATAATTGAAAAATAAAGTTTTGACTTTTAAATCCATACTATTTACAAATTAAATGAACATTACCCTAGGAGCTTGAAGAGATATATTTGTGCTAAAGAATAAATGTACTCAATTTAAGAGACTTGTATTATGACCCCAGACTTAAACTATGCTTACATAGGTTCTGACTATTATAAAACCTTTTTAAGAGTGTACTTAGCGAAGGGCCACAAAGAGAAAAATAATTCACTCAAGCAACAGAAAACATTTTTAATGCTCTTGCCAATATTGACTTTGTTGGACTTTACCTAATTTAAACCATGAGGATGACGTATCTATGAGAACATCAAAACTGTGTCACTGAAACGTTTAAAAAACCCCTGCCCAGATTTACAAATTAAATAATAGCTCTTTCAGATCATGCTTAACTTGAAACTAAAGGGAGTTTTTTTGTTTTTGTTTTGTTTTGTTTTGTTTTTAACCAGTCTAAGCAACATACCTCCCTGAAATGTGTGACAAATGTAATCCCCAAAAGAAATCTCTTTCCACACTCCAGGCCTTCTTACACTTTCTGAAACGTCAAGACTCTTCTCATTTTCCCCACTTAATTGAAACATTCTGATGCTTTGTCTTTGGAGGACTTATTTCGTTAGATAAGACTGCTGTTATCTAGTGTCTTCAAAGTCATCTAGTGTCTTCGAATCACAGAGCTTTGGTCTCTTTTGAAAGAGAATCCTAGATGCAAATAGAAATGGATATTAGATAAAGAGGGTATAATCCCGGAACCCTTAGGAACACCAAAAACACATAGGGCAATTCTGAATTCTGTTATAAATAAATACCCCTCTATTAAGTGACAATCCCGGCAAAGATATCTGATTCATTCACTACAATTAAAGTGAATCGTTTCTTGACAGAAATGGAGACCAAGTTCTATAAAGGAGGAGATTTCAAAATGTTTTACCCAAATGTTGGCATTTCATATTATAATAACCTTTGCTTACAGTGCGTTGCGTGGTGCCTCATATAAATGGATTTAGTAAAAGGTTCTTCCTGACAGTGACAAGTGGCTAATCAATTTGAATCACAAATGACAGCACCAAAATAAATATAGCTTGCCACATTTGCTGTTTTACATCAAATTTCTTGGTCATTCTATTTCCTGAGGAAACTCAGTCTTGTTAGAAAGCATTGTTAAAATTTGATTTACAATATTAACAACAATCCTAGAGAAGTAATTCTTTACATTAGTAAAAATAAGCTTTCTCAAAATATTTTTAGAAAGCCACTACTTTCATTGCTTCTTGTAAAAATAACTCTTAATCGAAGAATGAGCTTGCAAAAAATAAAGCTGAAAATCCTTCACAAATGGTACAGTCAACACCATTTGCTCCTTTAATAATTTTTTAAACAATCCACTCAAATCCAAAGTATAAATAAAATCTGCCTTTGAGAAATATTATTCATGTAAATGACCCAGGAGGTTTTTAAAAAATGTATATTAGGACTCAAGGCTGTACTCTCATGCATCAGCCTTTTAACAAAATGTTGTCCTTTTACCTGAAATTCCACCATAGATCTCTTTTGCTGTCCTAGCTGCTTCTTTTCTATTTCCTTTGACGATATAGAAATGGGTTAGGAGGGCCAAAAACACTTTAATTAAAAGCTTGAAGAAAAAAAAGTAGCGTACATGGTAATGAAAGTGTTTTTAAAGCCGCAGCAAACAGGACCCTCTTCCATTTTGGCTTTACACTCTGCATGGGTTCTCACGACAGCAGAATTTCACCGAGGTGTCATTGGTATCATCTGACATCTATTTTAAACCCTCTAGCCCTCAGTGTGCTGTCACGGAGAACTCAGCTTGCAGCTTCTAAGCTGTGATTTGGTGACTGCATGTGCTGACATTCACAGCAAGCTTCAATGAACTCTGAACAAACTTCTTTCCAAGCGGAAACACCCCATAATTCTAGACCTGCATTCCTCAGTGCTATCTAACAAGCAGGACTCACATCCAAGCCTTTTCTATTCCTAAGTCCCCATTTCTGTGACCTGACCTTGGAAGGCAGGATTGGAAAGATAAAGCAAACTTCTCAGATCCCATGGGAGCGAAACAAGTTGTTTAAAGTTCATGCAAAGAAGTACAAATACATCCTGTGCTCTTGGTGGGAAGCACTAGCCTCTGGAAGACTTCATTTCTTCTTCATTCTGAGGTTCATGGGAGATAAAGCCCAAATCTAAACTATGACTGGCTAAAAAAGACCATCTCCTCTAAGGCAGTTATTTGTAATAGGCCCATCCTGGATGCCTCTCCAAGTATAAGTGTCATACTGGAAGCATCAGATCACTTACTATATTCGTTTCATCCATGACAAGGTCCCCCAGTCAAGTTTCTGATCATTCACTTCCCTTTCCAAGTGTCAGTAAAGGTGGTACCTCTTTCTGGAAAATGTGGACTATCCCTGGATCATGGAAGAGTCATCATGAAATGGATGAAGATGCCCTAGGTTCTGGGTGAATTACCCAAAGATTCTAGTAATCAATACCGACCTAGTTGGTTAGTTGTAAGCTTAACTGTTCAACATGCATCAGCTGGCCAATACAAGTGAAAATGGCTTATTTTTAATTTTCCACACATAGGAAAATTAGGTGGGGAAAATTCAGGCCTCCTCTTTCATTCTTGGCTATGTTAGATTTTCTAAGTTTCTACGGCCAAGTAGAAAAGACAAGCCAAAATAAAATGATAAGAGCAGGTGAAATAAATCTTATTTAATCAATGATTTATGCAAAAATATGGGAGTGTCTCCTAGCACTCAAGTTAGAATGACGACCTAGAAAAGAACTGTTTCCCTGTACTTTGTTAAAAGGCTGATGCATGAGAATACCGTCTTGACTCTCACTTAATACCCAGCGCATCATTTCAGTGTCAGAGAACCATAAAGCTCTTGTGTCATTTCCATTCTCAAGAACAGATATTAGTATACAGGGTTGACTCCATCAAGCTTCCATTAATTACCTGGTAGAGTGCTGCTGTACGAAAACACACGGACGAACATATGTATTTTTGCTCTTTTCATGTCTCTCTCTTCAGCTGCGCTCTATGAAGGTGATTTTTACTCATGGCATCCCAGTGATGTAGATTGTCTTGTATAATATTATTCAGTCTTGTTTTGGTCTTGATTTTTATTGAAAACATGGCTGTCCTTTCTGTTTTGCATATGACAAAAGTTGGCCAAGAGCTCAACTTTTTAAAGCTTCAAATGGATGTCTGCAACGGGGGACCCCAAAAACCCAGAATTATCTTCCGGAGAGTGGGCCCCTTGTAGGACAGGTTTCCCCAACTAGGTGAGTGTTCTAGGAGCTGTTTGCATCAGTGGACCAGCTGGCGTTGTGGTGAGAGGCTGCATCCAGCTTCAGTGAATTTTTTTGAAGATTCTTTCAATGCGTTTGCCCATTTCATGATGGGTGATTTATAAGCACACATGCCCACACTGTGTTGAGTGTTCAGCAGCTTTTGACCAAAAATGGCAGGACCTCCATGCCCCACCCTCCCTATTCACCCCATCTTGCCCTGGGCAACATTTTTTGTTTCCTTGGATAAAAAAATGTCCTCAAAGGTTTTGCCGACATGGAAAACGTGAAACAAAAAACGACAGAAGCACTAAAAGCCATCAGAATCAAGGAGGAGTTCAAAAACTGTTTTGAGCCGTGGGAAAAAAACATCTCAATAGGTGTATTGCATGAGATGGAGAGTACTGTGAAGGTGACTGAAGTTTAAACATGTAAGAATGACACACCATTTTTTATAAATTCCGGGGTTTTTGGGCCCCCCCTCTCATATACTATTTCTGAGAGACTATCTTTACATTTGAGATAGGCGTTATGGCTACTGAAGGAAGGAGTCCATTCAGTCTTTTACACGAGACGAAATCCCCTGCAGCACCACTGATATTTTGGGCCAGATGATGCCCTGTTGCTGGGGGCTGTCTGAGAGCACTGCAGGGTGTCTAGCAGCATCCCTGACCTCTATGCATTCGATGCCAATGCCCCATTCCCATCCAGTTGTAACACCCAGAAATGTCTCCAGACACTCACCATTTGTTCCCATAGGGACAAAATCGCCCCCCCTTTCTCCCCTGCCAACATCCAGGTGTGAACCAAGCCACAGCTAAACATAAATGATAAAGAAAAACCAACTCCCCAAAGTACTAATAACTACAAAGTAAATTCTGTATAGAACTTCAATTTTCAGAATATCACAATTTAAAAATCCAGCCACAGGATGATATAACCATATCAAGCCCATTCTTTTGGGAATGGAGAGAATAAAGAGGGTTTTAAAAATATTTCAAAAAGTAAACACACACCAATTATACCCTGAGTTTGCTAAAAATAAGTTTCGGTATAAGGCAAATCAGAACATACCAGTGTAGGTGACTGCTTTCCATTGCTTCCAACAAAAGGAGTGGGAGAAGCTGGGTTTCTGTAAATAAAATCAAAATTCAAATTTCTCTTAAAATAGTTCATAAGACAAAGTATAATTACGTAGTTCACATGCACAACAATTAATAGATGTATTCTTTTGTCTCATGCGCTGACTCAAACACAGCACAAAACAAGGATTTGTTTGGACCAGGAAACAAAGGCACTATTGAACTTGCTATCCCATAAGTAAAAGACAGAATGTATTCTAGAACGAAAAGATGACAGAGTAATTCATCATCAGAAGGATATTTCCTGTTTTACTAAGAGACCTAGCAAGCCATCAAGCCGCACTGAAAAGATGATGTATTATAGAATTGTATGCCTGAAACCTCTACAATTTTATTAACCAATGTCGTCTCAATAAATCCAATAAAAATTTTAAAAAATAGAATGCATAGGAGGGAGGGGAAGAGGAGTGCTATTCAACTAGTAAATAAAATACTGGTCATAAAAAAAGACAAACTCAGAAAATTGTCAAAATGTCATTTGGTCTTTATTTTTATAGGACACGTAGCATGTTTTCATAAATCAGTTTTACATGTGCTACTTTTGTAACATCAAAAGAACTACAATACATTTTTCATAAATTCCTCATCATTGCAAGTTCACTTTCAAAGAGATGTAAGTAGCAGGGTAGAACAATATGTTTTCATATACTGACCAGTGCAACACTGATAATTACAAGTAAAGTATCTGGGAGGTTTGAAAATGAAGATTTACTAGAACAAGCAAATTTACTTCCATTTGTTGAAAAAAAGAAAGGTAATTTTAATTCGCAAATTACATATTTTACATGCAAGAATAACTTTAAATCCTACATCCATTGAAAATAAAACGACAATTTAATAACAATTTTGGGGAAAAAATGCCAAGAAACAAAAATATAAGGAAAAATAGTATGCCTTTTAAAATTGCTGAATAAAACCAAATGTCAATTTCTCGCTTTATCATGAATATTGGCACTGTTTATTCCATATTTATGTAAGTCATTTCTGTGCATAAAAATCCCAGTAAGATTTAGTGATTTGGGTCAGTTCAACTTTCTTCAACTAAAGAACTCTTAACTTCTAGGTTTTAAAAATCACTACTCTTGCGTTTGTGTTTTAGTACAAAACACAAGTATATTTCTGTACATCAGTGGCAACTGGTTAACAGGTATGTTAAGATACTTTTTAAAAGGTTTTGTAAATATTGTCAGTTAAAAAAATCCTGTACAGAATCATAATACTGCCAGAATCGAAGTGCACCTACACATTCCTCAGTCTTTTGATGTCAATCCTTTATCACAAAAACTTCTTCGAAGGAGTTCAATAAGACACACCATGTAGATAATTTGGGGTTTAAAAACCCATGGCTCTGGGCAACAGCAATTACAGTTAACAACACATCCATCCACAAAGAGACTTAAATTCGTAAAGTTTGCAGACTCAATTCACTGAATAAAATGTTCTGGGGTCAAGACTTTTTTGCACACTGACAATACTTATCAGACATCAGCTAGGCCACAAGTGAAGGGAAGTGACGTCTCTCAAAGGTACAGGGTAGCAGCTGAGTTTGAGATGGCACACCCTCATACATTCTGTGTGGGAAACACGAAGGCATTTACAGAGAACTCAATTACGCACTGAAAGATGTGGAGGGTTTCTCTCTGCACTCTCGTCAACAGTGATATCGGTCCCTAGTAGTTAAAAAGCAAAAAGCATTTTCATAAACACAACTGAAAATGAAGGTTCTGCCTAGAGAATGCACACAGCGGGATCAGAGAAGTACCCGGAGCGTGTCAGCAACTGTTTCCTGGCATTAAAAGCACACGCATTTCTGGCATGATGGATGTTTTACAATTTCACAGCAACTGTGGCTACAATGAAGTGAGCCATTTCAGTGATGAATGGCAAATGCACCCTGGTCCTTCATGGCAGGAAGTGTCTAGTTCAATGTTCTACACAAAGTAGGTGCTAAAAGCATGCTGCTAACTGACAGACCTTCTTACTCAAGAAACCTGCTGATTATATGTAACACTTACTGAGTGTACCCAATAAATGTTTAAGAACAGAACTTAAAAACCTAATAAAAGTAAATGGATATGACTTAAGATAGTTCACAGAGTTGTTGTACTTCTCTAAAAAAAAAACTTGTAAACATCTGGTGAATATCTAATAAATGGTAGAACAGTTAAAATTGGCTAAAAAAAAAATGCCCAGAAAACATTTGGCCCTTCAGCACCCAAAGCTCCCAAAATATGTGAAAACATCTTTGCTAGAGGGATTTCAGTAGTCTGAAAAATTGCATACCTGGGTGGCTTATATAGGTTCTCTCCTAAATTTTACATAAGTGCAAGGAGTTTCTACACTCAGGAATTGCATAAGTTATCTTTCCTCAAAATAAAACATCGAATGATATAGAGGTAGCATAACTTACTAAATTAACTTTTAAAAAAGGAAAAAAACAAGGTCATTTTCAATAGTGTTAACAGAACTATTGTAAGTATTTAAAATCTTCCGAACCAGGCTTTCTTCTACCTGGTTTTAGACATCTCATTATTCTTGCCCTGTTTTCTACTATTAGGCTGTTGATGAGTCCAGGCACCATTTGGCCCCGTGGCATCAACTGCAACATCAATGATAGAATCTGGCGTCATCCATCTCAGGAAAGTGAGAAAGAGAAAGTTAATTACAGCCAACAAAGCAAATATGCAGCCTGTTACTGGGCCACAGTGAGAGATGAGTCTGTCCAGTCGTCTGTCCATTGGTAACACAGTTTCTCCTGCCACACGGTTGTACACCTGGTGGGAGAGAGGCCGAGAATGAGCACTCTAGTCCATAACAAAGAACGACCAGGAATGTTTTATAGATGTAAACAGAAGCTGCTTACATTGCAATGTTGTTGTTATAGGAATTATGCAGTTAATGAAATTCATTACAGTAATTATTGCCTTTTGATTCAACACTCATGGAGTGCTTATTCTGGACAAAATACTGGGCTAGGAGCCATGTGATCCAAAGATGAATATGCCACAGTTCCTGTATCCTAGGGGATCACTGTGAATTTTAACCCAACTATGAGAATCCTAAAGACCTGAGACATTGGAACTGCTCTTCAGGTCACCTCTGTGGAGACCACATTTAATTCAGCAGAGACTCCCTGAGGCAGGGCTGGCCTTCTAAGATTCCCTGGTTCGGCTGAAAAGCTCTCCCTGCTATCGGGTAGACATCAATCGAAATCAGTGACAATCTAGGCATATTTCTTTCTGGGTACAGAGCGGCTCTTCCTTTCACAGCCACAGGAGGCCGTGCTGCTGAGCACAGACAGTGAGAGTATACAGAAACATCTCATGGGTTCCACACAAAGAAAGGGCCAAGAGATGGGGAAATCTTAGCATATGGTATAGGTCAAACACTGGCAACGGAAACAAAGTTTATTGCTGAGAACTAGTAGTAGGTGGCTTGCTTTTCAAAGCACACGTAAGTACTAAACTCGGAAATATTTTTTAAAAACAAAGATCTTTAAACATACTTATTTTGAACACATCAAATGAGACAGCATTAATTTTTCAATTGCACTTGAGCGTTACTTGTGCTCATTCTCCTGTATCAGATCTGTGAACAATCTCTTTTAGAACTCAAGAAAGTTAGGATCGGCAGCGCGAGTTCTGCAGGCCAGTGGCCTTTGAAAGATGCAGGATGTTTTCATCTAGCTCTTCCACTCCGAGGGCATTTGGAATACCTTTGAATCAGAATTAGGTTGAAAATTATGCTGAGACTGATGAATCGCAATTGTTCAATTTTCTAAAAAGCACAGTTAAACTAAAGCAGAGGAGTTGAAAAGAATCAAAATGTCCTGTGTGGAATAGGTAGAACTAAAAGAGCAACTGCAAACTGACCTGTGTGTCCACCTTTATTGCCAGGTCAATTAATGTATGATCTTAAGTGACAAAGTAGTTTCCTACTGTGAGAATGGCAGACATAACAAACCATTACACACAAGGATTAACTTTTTTCTGAAATGTATACTATAAGTCACCATGGAGCATAAAACAGAAAAGAATGCAGATGTTTTGCTATTACTTTTAGCAAAGCTAAAAGAAAATCTGTGGTTAAAAAAAAATCCTACTTGGCTCCTTTATCATCTGCTGACGTTCTGTCACCACAGTTCTTTGACCCGAGCTTAGTATTTGCAGTAGCTTAGACTTCCAACATTCACGTGATGTCCATCAAGAAGGTGAAATAACAACTTACAGAGCTATGGTTCTCAAGCAGGGAAGAGTATCACTTAAAAACAAACAAACAAGCCTGTCTAACCAAATATCCCTGCCAACTATTCCCAAATTCCACCTCTGCTCCTAAAGGGCCGTATTACAATCTAGGGAGAGGCGGGGGACGAGGGCAGGAGGACAGGAAGATGGAATGATCAGCTCCTGAAAAGGTTTCTTAGGTGATTCTGACATGACCTCACAGCCGGTAATCGGCACTACACTCCAACTTCCAAAGGAAAAGGGTAGTTATTTCATATGGGTGGAGATACTGCAAAACTTCGAGGTGAGTGCCTTGGAGACTTTTCAGTCAAAACTCTTCACTCAAATATCTCATATTTCAATGGAAGAGGTAAGAGTTTTTCCGCACTTACATTCAAATATGAGTTCATCTTCTGTATGGGAATTGAGAATTGAAACCAAATAAGAGAGCCTTACAGTAAAGAGCTATTCTGTTCACTCACCCACTCCATGTTGCTCTCTGTTTCTGGGTAGAAGCTAGCTGCTCCACTGCCTACAATGAGAGCATAAAGCACAGTCTAAACTACGACCTTCTTTTCTCCATGCTCCCAACGGAATGACCTACGGTTCATAATTTCTACGCACTAAGAAGTAGAGTGTTTCCGTCCAGTGTGTTACACGGTGATAAGAGGCATGAAGCACATGAAGTAATAACATTAAACAAAGGACAAAACTGAATAGAATAAATGAAGTCCCTAACTTGAAACCAGGACGCTTTTCCGACAATCATACTCTCCCACCTAAGGGTATTTATCTATGTCCTGTTCCTGTCCTTTTGGAAATTCTCTACCACTGCTTTTTATCTGCGATTATACTTCTGACATTTGTCGTGTGCATTCTGAATTCTAACTTATTATGTTCTTGATCAGCCCAAAGATGCAAAATTCCTTTTCCGGTAGGAAATCACAGTAGTTAGCAAACGTGACACAAGAGTTTTAGGAAATAGTCTGAATTAAATATTTGTAAGTTATAGAGTTGCTGCAATCGGACTAAAGTAAAACCATGCATTTTCTAATAAACCTAAACACTTTAGAATTATAAACAGCCTCAAGAAAATGTCTCACGGTAGGCATAAAATTAGTTCTGCCTCTATAACAGCTGTAACTTCTTTATGCCCAGTTTAATGAAAGGGGGAGACTGCATTACTGTTACTTTCAGGTGTCGAATGCAATGATTTCATGAGAAGGGTTATATCTAGCACAGACCAAAAGGACACAGTTCACTTCTTTTCATTTGGAAGAGACTTCGTGAACTTAAGCAATAGAACAGAAAAGATAAACCTGTATAAGAGAAAGCCAACGTGTGCATGAAACATCAGGAATTCAGACACAATCTTCAAATACCCATTTCTTGGCAGGTGACATACTTTTTCAGTTCTCTCTGCAACATTCCTCCAGGTGTAGAACGTCTTTACTATGTTATGGATCTTTTCTGGAGCGGGCAATGCTCCGGACTTCAGTTGGAAAATAGCTTTTTCCAATCCCTCACACAAAGATTTTACAGAAGGCTCACATAAAATAATAAGGTTATCTGGAAGTACTTCAGGAATTCCACCAACCCTGGTACTTACAACCTAAAAAGAAAGAAAGAAAAAGAATATACAATCCGACGTAATTCACGTCTCAGGAAAATAAGCAAAAGCAACTTAAAAAATTACTACAGAATATGTCTGATTAGTTTTCAAAATACATGTACAGGAACCCCAACAATGTAAGAGCCCTCAAAGCTTTTTACCTGTAAACCACAACTGGCTGCTTCCACAATTGCCATGCAGAATGCTTCAGTAAGGGAAGTATTAAGAAAAATATGTCCTTGAACTAAGACATTTCTAACATCCTTGTGTTCTAAGGCTCCCAAGAGACGCACTCTGATTTTTGAAATGAGAGAAGAAAGAGGACAGTGAAAATCACACTACAAAAGAAATTTTATAAGCCCAGTGGGCTATTCATATTATACGGGGTCTGGCACAAATAACGCCCCTTCTTTATTACAAAATCATAAGCATGTAATTCTATAACATAACAATATCACACTCAAGCACACCCTATGACATTTTAGGTGAAATGTTCAAAATAAAACTATACATTAGTACCCCATATTATTACCCTACCAACCACTCAAGCAGGCCTTACTTCTGCAGGACCCTGCACTTAGATTCTTACTGGTTCTAATGTTTTGTCAAAAGATTAATATTGCCAAACTCTGATCTAAAAGAAACAGTCTTATTAATAAGCTGTTTGGTTAAAACTCATACAGCTAACATAGTTCTACTTTTATTACACATACCAAATTTCATCATTTCCAAAATGAGTTTGCATTTAATCAAAGTATTAACACACCTGGATGAGTAAATGTTAATGTCATTTCTCAACGAGAGAATGGCCCCTTTAAACTGATGTTTCACAGGCACAAGCCTCGCGTGTTATCTAAGTTACTGAGGAAAGGTTCAAATCTGTATGTGCAGAGGAACTGACGTGATTTGGACCATGCTATTTAAATCAGAACTCGGTGTGGCTTGAAAATCTACAAACATTTCCAATCAAAGCAGTTGGTTTTCTGTACCTTCTAGAGTGCCTCCAATCACTGCCCCATAAAGTCAAGTGATAGTGGGCTAATGAAAAAAATAAAATTGTGAATTCTTTTGCTAGGGTTTCCAATTTTATATAAATTTTTTGAAAATAGGCTTTGCATTACATTTTTACATCAAATCCATGTAGAAGAGGCAGCCCACTTAATGTATGTAGCCAAACTGAATATAGGTAATTGATATTCTCTCACCCAAGACAATATGGAATCCATCAATACCTGTCATGTAGCTGGTATTTTTCCCGTACTTCTTCCAAAATTATTCTCTTTGGTCCCTCTCCCCCAATTATGAAATTTAAATCTTGATATTTCTGACAGAGTTCAGGTATTATACCACTAAGCAAATCGGTACCTGTAAATAGAAAATAAACTGAAATGTTGGAGATATTTATATTTAAACTTTTAAAAAATCATCAGAACTGAGATTCCACTCACTTTGAAAAGTATTAGCTATGCCCTCCTTAAGTTGAGAAACAAATTCTCTCAAACCTTTCCTGAGAGTAGAACAGTTCATAAACTGCCAGAAGTCCCCCAAGAGTTGCGGTTCTTGAAGGTGCACACACTGACATCCATTGTTACCTTCCATACACCCAATATGTGTCCTATTCTGTTTCATTTCAGCATAATGTTCTTTAAGTTATTCATTTGTGTTTACACACTGGCCACGTCTAGAAAAGGTACTTGAGGTAGCTAACATTTGAGTTCAAGTTTTCTACAGAGCAGGACAGCTGACTGGAAATCTAGATATTGTCCCACCATTTTAATAAGCAAGCTCTTCCTGATGGGAAAGTTTCCTGATAAAGAATATTAAGAGACCTGTGTACCTAGAGTACACGGTCTCTTTCAGCTACAAAGTTCTACTACCCTATGATTCCACCTCCTGCCACAGGAAAGGGCTGAGCAACAGAGTGTTAAATGCTATCTCCACTTTGTGCAGAATGCAGTGTATACAGAGGATTCTGCAGTGAATACTATGGTATTAACAAAATACTATGTCCATCTGAGCCTGCTGTAGCCCACTTCCCTGAAGGAGAGTAAATGAAGGTGGCAGGACCCATCAGCCAGACCATTACATTCCACAGAACAGAACGCATCTTTGTTCCTTTTTTTCTACCGAAACACTTTTCTTGTAATATGTAAATACAACCTCAGGTAATGTGAAGCAATAAATCATGTCCTACGAGTCTGAAAGTGGCTATCCAAAGTGACAGCAATGTTGACACTATTTAAAAACTCATTAACAATTATAAAATATAAAGTAAAAATGTAAAACAACCCAGTTAAAGAAATGCATACACACACATACACACACACACACACACACACACACACACACACACACACACAAAAGAATCACACTATCAATCTACCCAAGTATTGGCAGGTCAATTATAAAAAAAAAATGGTGGGAGATATAATATATACAGGTCATTTTTATTAAATAATTCAAAATAGGATTTAAGTGAACTCTGCTAGTATTTTCTGCATGAGCAAACATAAATTCACACACATCTTTTCTGAATTATGAAGGCTTCTCATTAAAATCTTAGTTCTCTTTTTTCAAGTCTATTACCCAATTGGATAAAAGGCTTAATTAATGACTTTTAACATTTGTCCTCCTATAACTTTCATTTTATCTCTTTCCTCTCTCCCTTCTAATACAAAGGTTAAGAACCTATTCTTTAAATGAAAAGAAAACATATAGGATAATAATCATAATTGCTGATAATACCTAACATTTACTGAGCGCTCACGACGTCAGGCAATATACTTTTTAAATACATTATGTCGTTTAATCCTGGCGGGTACCTTATACAAAGTGGAACTGATTTTGTCAATTACCTATAAAATTATTCTAAAAATAAAGGGTTTCCCCCCACAAAAACGTTCTAGTGCCTGTAAGAAGAATCGAGCACAATGGAACATACCAAAAGACTTTCAATCTCCATAGTCACCCGAAATGGACAAGGAAAATTCCTGATTTGTACTGCTTTTGAAGTTAAGCCAAACACTATTTTAAACAATCTTCTGAATCTCTAAGATAATGGTGGCTGGGCCAGGGATGGAGGAACAGGAGGCCTTTACTTAGGAAGAGCTGAACTCCTGTTTGTCGTCTCTGTTCTCGCTGTGTATCCTGAGCAATTACTTACCCTCTCTGAGACTCAGTTTGTCAACAGATAACATATATCCCACAGCTCTTGGGAGGGTCAAGTGAAGCAGTGAGGCTTTATCAACTGCACAACATAAATATGTCATTACCACTACAGCAAGAAGTGGGGCGTGCCTGCACACTCACAGGAGCACTGTGAAATGCTAACTGAGCAAAAAGGGGCCCAAGAAAAGGAAGAAGCCATCCAGGAAAACTGCGTGAAAAGATTTTTGATTTATGCTGTCCCTTACTTAATAACATTCCAGCGGGCCTTTGATATCTGGTCCAAATGAACACCTAAGGAAATTAATTTGTTAATCATTAATGGACCATTAATATAATTACTCGCTTTGAGGCTACGAATGTAGCCATTCCTTCTCAGAGTGTTATTTTTTGCATGATGCCTGGCCTATGGAGAGGGTTCAATAAGTATTTGTTAAATTATTGAACTGAGAACAAGAAAGGCTGTAACTTCACCCCACTGGCGGTTAGCTCAGCTGGTTAAAATACCATAATTAGTGAGGTACAGGTAACAGGTTTAACTATTGTACAAATACTTAATTTTGCTCTGATCCTTGACCATGCATGCATCATACTTTCTTAACTAGCTATCCCAGAAAGGCATACTATTTGATGAAAAAACATTTTAAACATATTTTCTAAATAACAACAAAACATCAGCAATATCCTGAGGGATTCAGAATGCACGATGCTGGTCCATTACATCTTCTTGAGTAGAGAATGACAGCACGTCATCGCTTTCACCTCATAAAACAGTTCAGTAACACTTTTCTCACCAACCTCTGCGTAAGAGTCGGATCAACCACAGCTCTCCATTACAATGGCAAAAGCAGATCTTGGGCCACTCCCTAGGACAGACTGCTACACTTCTGATCCACCTGCCATGCTTCACACTTTCCAAGAATCAGCTGTGTTGTCTACAAATCTGTTTGATACCAGTTGCACTTCCTACTATGTTGGGTTATTTAATTAAAAAGCACAGAAACTGGCAAAATGAGTTTCTCTGAAACTAAGCTGAACGGTTTGAAGAATTCAATAAAGTCACAGAAAAAAGCTCTTATCAGTTAGGGGGTATCCTAAACCACTGTATAAAATCAGAAACAAACGAAAATGTGGAAGCATGTTACTTCATATGGCTTTGGGTTCCCACTGCATTTAAAAGAACCAAGTTGGTGAATGTAAATGATGCTTTTTGAAGGTGACTGTGCAGGAAAGATAATGCAGCTCCAATCGGTGGACCAGTACTGTGAAGCCTGCAGGCCTACATCAAACTATTGGCAAATTTGGTGCATGTTAATAATATTGAGCTGAATTTAGCCCTGGTCAGATGGTTCAGGTGGTTGGAGGATCTTCCCATACACCAAAAGGTTGCAGGTTCGATCCCCCGGTAGGGCACATACCTAGGCTGTGTGTCCCACCCCCCGTTAGGGCACATATGGGAGGCAACTGATCGACATTTCTTTCTCTCTCCCTTCTTCTTTCTAAAATCAATAAAGATATCCTTGGGTAAGGATTAAACATAATCATTTTGAGTTGAATTCAAATCTTTAAAGGGAGGTTATATATTATCTTTTAAATGATTCCTTAATTTTGATTACTAGATAGGTTTTCAAAGAGCATCCAGAACATTTATGTTTGGATTAACCAAACTGTTTCACATTTAGTAAATGAGACTCTACAAATTCTACTGCAGTGTCCACGAAGAGCTGCAGAGGCACTAAAAAAGTCCTCCCTGAGAACAAACGCTCATCCAGCACAAACTAGGTTAATACTTTATGGAAACCAACATGGAACCCTCACAAAATCCCCATTTTTGCCCGTTACACAAATGAAAAAAAATGAGACTCCAAGATGCTATGTAGCCTGTCCTCCATCACACAATGGGGCAGAGCTAGCCCCTTCCTTCATCACTTACCTGCCAATATGTTACATACGCAAGCTACAAACAGTAATGTGCAGAAAAAGCTCAAAGATTTTTAGTATATGCATTAAAGACAGGAAAGCTACAAATTAAAATATTGACTACAGTCATCCCTGAATAGTAAAGTAACAGCTGATTTTAGTTTTCACCTTTGTGCTTTTCTTAGCTTTCAAAATATCTGCAAAGACATTACTTTTGCAATTAGAAACTGGTGGTGGAATTGGCCCTGTACTTCTTACTGCATGCCCAGGGCTGCTTTAACTTTTAAAAAGACCTGACTTGCTAAAGAGCATCAGCTTGGTTTTATTTTCTAAGTAACTACTAAAACATCAAAGGTTGGGGGGGAGGGGAGGCAGCATTCACCACTGTTCCAAAAATTTCTTTTTGAGTGCATAAAACAATATTTGACCTTTCTTTGCCATATTTAATGCCGAAGTAGTCATAAAACCATAAAAAATAAAAAGCTAAACAATTATTATATACAAGTATTCAACAGCTTTCTACAAGAAAAAAGTCTGTGCAGTGCAATTGTAGCTAATATTTCATTACCTTTTCTGTAAACAAGTCTGCTGACAATAACAATAGTTATTATACTATCATGCCTTCTAAATGGGTCTGGAGTGAAGTCAGTAGGATCTACAGCATTAGGAATGACGGACACTATTTCAGGATTCAGTGCTGCTCTTAGCACAGTGTTTTCCTTACTAGTGTAAGAGACACAAATTATGTGGTTTGTGTCACAAAGAGATACAGTTAGAAGCTTGTTTGTAAGCACCGAGCTGACATCAGCAAATCCGAAAAGGGAATGATCCGTGAAGACTGTACGGAGCCCCATTGTCTTGGCGTGGAAGAGAGCATCATGGGCCATGGCGGAAAAGGAACTATGTGAGTGGATTATTGTGACTCTCTCCCGAACGAATATGTACCTGAGCAATGGCAGACTGTGAAAGAGGGTTGTGGCTGTAGATTGGTTGTACATAACTTTCAGGGGCAAGTAATAGACTTTGAGGCCTTTAGTGAGGTAACGGATGCCTTTTCGATTTCCATAAGCATGGGTGACAACTATGACCTTGTGTCCTCTTTCAATCAGGCACTGAGAGAGCTGGTAAATGTGGCTTTCCACGCCGCCCATATTTGGGTAGAAAAAGTCCGACACCATGCATATATTATGAGTCCCAGTTCTACATGTGACAAGATTTCCAGGGCTAACGTGGTGGAGCGCAGCTGAGGGACTGTGGCCATGCCCACCTCCTCCTTGATAGGCCATGCTGAGTCAGTTTAGGCATTAGTCCTTAGAGCAACTCAGTTATGTGTCATCTAGCACCTGAAAAGAGAGTAAAAGAGGATCTTAGCTCAGAGAAAATACATTCCACATTCCAAATCCAGATATAAATACAGTTTTAATGTTAATGTGAATTTGGTAGCTTTCACCCTAGAAATAAAGCAAAACTTACTATGTATGAACTCATTTGACATTTACTTGCTTAGCACTTACTATGTGCCACACAAAACTACAATTTGCAATGTCCTTATATCTTGTGTTTAAAAAAACCTCCACATACGATTTCAAAAAATACCACGGTATATGGTAATCTGCTATGCTAACAAACCAGTTCATTTCAATAATGACATATCAGGACTCTTTACAGAAGAAGTGTGGCAACCCCACTTGAGAACTAAGCCACTGAGTCAATGAATGTCATACCATCAAGTTCTGCTAGTATTATTTTTGTGGTTCACACTAAAATATACCTGGACCTAGAGCTGTCTTTTTAGGAGGGTCTTTTGCAAGTGCCACAAATGCTGCAGACATCCACATTTTCTCCTCCCTTATTCAAGGATGATGATAATCAAACTGCTCCCTTCATTTTCTTAACATTTCTTTCAGTCACCTGGGCCTTTGTGCCCTGAGTGCCCTTCCTTTCAGTTTGGAGTCTGGAGACAGAGACTAAACTAGAGATGGGATGAATCTGGGGCCATTTCTACATCTAAAGTAGGAAATGTTTACCTCAGGGGACTCCTAGATTGTTATCGGTGCAAATGCCCACTCAGTATTCAATATTACTAAATTCTTAAGACTTCGGAAGCTTAGGAGTATTGGAAACCTACTGAGACCCCTCCTCAGCTTTACAGATGAGAATTCCATGCCTCCAGAAACTCAACCACACAATGGGAAGCCATCCTAACTGTCTCAGTTTCCAATTTCTCCTGCAAACTCAGAAAATGCAAATTAACGGCAGGTGTAAAGTCTTGCCTATTCTTTCCAACAAATTCATCTACATTTTAAATACATTCTCAGAAATACTCTGTTGACCCGTATTTACTAATTCAGATTCAATATTCTCAAATATTGAGATTCTTCAAGTTTGTATTTAAGTGGCTTCACTAACATTCTATCTGTGGTTTGCCAATTAAACCTGAATTTCCAGTTCTAGTCAATTTAAAAAGATATATGATAACAAAAAGTGAGTAACGAACCAAATGAAATCACTGAGTTTTTCATCAACCCGCAGTGTTCTGTGAGGAGTCTGCCTACTTCCATCAGGTTATAACATCTTTATGTTGTAAAAGCTGAACGAACGGTACAATCACAAAATCTTAGATTTCAAGCTAAAGAGAGGCTAGATCTAGTAAACACTTCCTATTCTACAAATGAAAAGCCAGACAAGTTGAGCGACTTGTCCAAGGTCCTCACCCAGCCACTTAAGAGGCAAATGCGAGATGGCTGTAAATTCTCAACCCTGGTCAAGGAGCCCCTGGGCAGTGACTAGCAACAGGGGTTCCCGAGGAGCCTGAGGGAGACGTGGCGGGAGCTTGTGGTCAAGAGGTCGGTGCTTCCACCCACCACCCCCTGGGCTCTGCCCCGGCTTCACTCAGGAAGAGGTCCCTGGGGAGCGCCAATACCAAAGAAGGGACGACCCCGCTCCAGTAAGTCCGCCCCAGCGCATCCTCAGCCCTACTTGAGTCCAGAGACCCTCGACCCCGACTTCTGAGCCTCAAGACGGACCGGCCTCACTCCCTCCACGGCCAGCCAAGTTCCCATGGGGACAATCTAGTACAACCCGGAAGCGGCTCAGAACGCCGGCACAGAGAGGTCAGACACGCACTTACCGGCGAGTCCTATGGCCGCCAGTGTCCGGACCTCCCGCGGCAGCGGCTGGAGTCCCACCCCGCTGCTCCCAAACACCAATCCGGGGCGTCCGCGCTCGAGCACCGCGCTCCCGAAGCAGCCAATAACAAAGAGGCGCTGGAATCACGTGAAGGAGAGGCGCTCACTCCCCACCCTTCAGCTTGGGATGTAACATCACTGCGCATGCACATGCCTCCACGATGTTACGGAAGAATTGTTGTCTCTGTATTGATAGCATTAGTCTTCGGTTTAATCTTTTATATGAATTCCTAGTATGTCGCGAATCTCAAAATCAGCCCTAGTGTCTTCTTACACAATCAGCCCCCTAGGGCTCTTCGCAGGATGTATAGACAGGATTCCCAGGGTGCCTCGCAGCGACTCTTAAGCGCTGCTGGGAGTTGTAGTCTGGAGTCTTATGAAGGCGAATACGAACTTAAAAAACTAACTCCCAGAATGCACCGCGATTCTAAACCTGAATCCTGAGAAAGGTCGAGGGGTTCGAATCTTGGTTGCCTAGTTACAGCGTCTCTTTTCTGGAAGCCTGTTCTCTCTGGCTTCCGAAGATAAAGACTGGGGTCGGAAGACTGCAGAAAGGCTGGGTTATTGTGGCTTTTAGCTGTGCCACAGCAGAACCGTACTAGTTCATACCACTCTGGTAGGGTTCCCTGATGTAGCAAATGAAAACATACAAGTAAGTTAAATAAAAATTTAAAAAAATTTTAACTTCAGATACATTTCTTTATGTAATTTATGTCCCCAATATTGGGGACTTTATAAAAAATTATTCGTCGTTTATCTTCAAATTTAACTGGGCATTTTGTGTTTTACCTTGCAACCGTACACTCGGGGGGAAAAAAAATTTTGGGTCTGACCTGAAATATCAACTCTCACTCAAACTGGTTCAACTGGCTATGGTGATGCTTGGCCAAGAGGCTAATAAATCAATGGGAGTGGTCTGATACACCCTTTCCTGTTGGTACTTGGAGTTCCCCAGCCCTGCCTTGCATACTTTCGAGAACGAATGCCTTCCCCAATCGACCTCATCACCGGCACCCCGTCTAAGCCTGTAGAAAACTTACTCATCCCTGAAGATTTCAGCTCCTTTCTGACGCTCCCCCCCAAATCTTTAAAGAGAATTAAATCTTGCCGCTTTTGTATTTTGATAGTACTTTTAGCCATTTGCTGGTATAGCATTTATCGGATGATATTCAAATTGTTTGCTTGGCTGTTGTCCCCATTCCTCCTCAACCTGGTCCTTGAAGATTTGTGCCTTCTTGGAATCTCACACGGACGTCTTTCTGAAAAATGACACTTGTATTTGCTTGTTGAATATCTGCCTTCCCAGCCAGATAGTAAGCTCAGGCAGGGGCTGTTCCCAGTAATAGACATTGAATAAGTTTAAGTTGTATTAATGAACTTCTATATCCGATGCCAGCACAGTCCCTGACACATATTATATACCTAGTAAAATGTATTAAAAATATTTTGTAGAGTGTACCTTATAAAACTTACAATGCAGAGATATAATTCAAAGAGCATTTCGGTTGTAGGATTTGAAGTGTATTAATGAGTTAATCTTAATGAGTAAGGCACAGGTAGGAATGGATACTCTGCCCTGTGTTATTGAAGCACCAGTGCATAAAGATGATGAAGACTCAAGGATACTTATTCAAGCTTAATAATTTGCATTTGGCTTCACAGAAAACAGCAACAGTGCCATATGGTATACAACATTGCTTTGGTCTCCTTTTTTTTGCAACAGGGTAAGCACAGAATGTGGGCAGACATCCTGCAAGGTATAAATGAGGCTTAAGCCCTCATTTATTTATTGAGCCCCTGGGTTGCCACCGCCATAGTTCTGATCACAATATACTTCTGAAATTCTACCATGAATCCTCTAAGATCTTGATGTCAACACTCCTTGAAAAGAGTTGTGATCTTTTTTCAAAACAAAACAAATATTTTCTATCTTTACCATCGAATATTTATTGAGTGCCTACTCTGTAAAAGGCTTTGGGGGGGGGGAATACAAGGAATATTAAACATAATCTCTATGCTTTAAAAACTGTTGACCCTTCCTAGCTTTTATATACCTTTTACCAATAGTATAAAGGAATTCACTTTTCTTGAAAGGTTCTTTGTGTTTTAAATACTGTAGAATAGGCTGGCCTTTATAAATATGTATTCATAAAGGCACACTGTTGCTGAGTCTCTGTGGAGGATGGGTTTCAGGCTATTGCAACAAAGTCTGAGAACATTGAACATTCATCATACTCCAATCTCCAGCCTAGGCTCGGAGTATTAAAAGGCATATAAATCATGATTCTGTACATGGTTCATAATCTCACATGGGTACAAGACTCCATTTATAATCAGTTAAACCTTAAGCAAAAGTCTCTATTTAAGGATATTTTCTAAAAGTCAAAAGAAAGTTGTAGCAGCCAAATTAAGCTATAAATCTGGGGATAATTCTAAGTATAGTGTTCTGCCTGAATGTATGGAATCAAGGTATGCCTTTAGCGAAATTTCTCAAAAACCACTAAAAGTAGACTCATATACATGCAGCGTATTCTGATTACACTTAATAAAATATGAAGGCAATCAGTACCAGTTGTGATATAAAATGACCTATAAATGGAGAAGGTATAAAATAAATGTGGAGATCACCTTCCCTTGAAACTCAGCTCTTTGTAAATACATATGTAAATTCGCTCCCCTGGATGTTGAAATGGGAAGGCAACAGAGTTGTATTGAGAGCCTGCTATCTAAGGCATAAGGCAAGGAAAGTCTGGCATGAGCTTTACCCCCAAGGAACCAAGACAGAGTTAAGGCATACGAAAACATCTATGATAAAGGTAGGAAGTGATAAGTGCTGTAAGAGAAATACAAAAAATACTGGGAGTGTATAGGGAAAGAGTATTTCTAGCTGTCAGCAGTTGGCAAGTAGAACTAAAAGGTGCTCATACATCTGTTGGGAGCAACACCATTCCAAGAACAATGTGATCAAGGTACAGAGACAGGTGCCAACTCTCCAGTGGACCCTGTTGTATGATTGTACAGGGGAAGGGAAGGGGAGTGGTTCAGCCAGAAGAAGAGTGGCATTTCCAATGAAGATAGGAGCAAACTAGCAAAGGGTTTTATTAAGAGAAATGGACTTGATGTTGAGCCAGACTTCCAGCCAAGATGATCATTTCAATTACTATTTTGAGACTCCTCACTCATCATTCTTTCAATGGAAGAAAGAGATATCAAGCGAGAAAATTAAAATGTTATAGCTGTGACTTTTAAAAGAACTTAAACACTACCATGTATCAGAAACAGAACTAGCCCTGGCTGACATGGCCTAGTGGATTGAGCACTGGCCTGTGAACCAAAGGGTCGCCAGTTTGATTCCCAGTCAGGGCCCATGCCTGAGTTGTGGGACAGGTCCCTAGCAGGGGGCACACAAGAGGCAACCACACATGGATGTTTCTCTTCCTCTCTTTCTCCTTCCCTTCCCCTCTGTCTAAAAATAAATAAATAAAATCTTTAAAAGAAACAGAACCAAAATGGTAATCAGAAACAAAAGCAAAATACAAAACGGTAATCAGAACAAAGCCAAGTAGGTCCTGGACTCTGTATGTGGCAGCAGGAAAACATGAACTAGGGTTCAGCTCTTGTAGAATAATAGACTAACAGGGCTCCATGTGTGCCTAGAGGCAGGAACCAGCCTTTGTGGGAGATTTACATTGGTGGCCTTCAATGAATCACTTTCCGATATTTGCATCCTTGTCTAAGCTCCTCCCACATTGACTCTGGGCCTGGCCATGCAACTTGCTTAGCCAATGGAATATCAGTAAATGAGATACAGCAGAAACTTACTAAGTGCTTTTGCACTGGGGCATGTCCTATTGGAACCTTTCCACTTGAAAGACAATGGCTGGCTCTGCTGTGAAGAAGCTCTGGCAAGACACTGAACGACGAAAAACCAGACAGAGAGACGCCTTGGAGAATAAGAGTTCATCTTGGGCATTCCCCCAGCAGCAGATGAATTCCCATTCCCTGATCACAAAATCAATGCAATACTTTACTGTTTATTAGTCATCTACTATATGCAAAACATTGTTCTCACACTGAGGGTTATGATTAAATTTGACAAAGTCTAGCTTTGTCAAATCACGATCTTTTATCAATAAAAGTGCAAAGCCAGATCGCAAATAGTTTTGTCCTAGCTCAGAATTCTTGATAATAGCTTCATCTAAATTGCAATTAGGAAGATAGAGCCACTAACCAAAACATGGTTTGAGTTGGTTTTAGGACAGATCCAAAGATGTCAGGGGCTTCAGTATACTCTCCTTTGCCATGGAATGAGGGTCAAATCAAGTTAAACGGACTCTCAAAGGAAAGATTGGCCTCCAGCTTGACCAAGTGACCAAATTCATTAAGCTTACCATTTTCACCAGTCTATTGCTTTCCTTAAAAGCCTTAAAATGGATTACTTGTGTCATCTCCTTTACCAAGTGTCTCAGATAGCATTTTAATCTTACTCATCTCTGACCATTATGCTGTCCAACCTGTTCCCATCTCTAAAAGGCCTCCCACCACACTGCTTAGTCACAGATTTATGATCTGAGCTGTCATATTAATAATTTTCTGGTCTTGTGGCTTAGATAATTAGGGATATCATACATCACTGGCATTTATTGTATTTGCTTTAAGCTCTTGGGGGATTTTTACATATTTTTATTTTGAAACAAGTTGAGAAATATCAGCCCACATACCAAAGCTATTAGTATGACAAATATCCCTGTACAATGACCAGTGAATTCTAATAAGGCGATAGGCTAGTTACCCCACCTCCCCCCTGAGGACTAGCCCCACCCCAGGTCAGACCCAGCCTCAGAATCCAAGTGCAAATCTCTTAGTG